TATGCGAAGTGGATAGAGAAATTCGGGTGGTTGAACACACTTATGAAAGATAAGGCGAAGAAGAAAGCCCAAAAATTGATTGACTAGGTTTGTACGGTTTCACTTCTCCAAGCCCAACTCGACTATAGGTTCACAAAAAAATAACTTTTAAGTGGTAATTATTACCGTAGTGACACGATCCAAGTTTGTTGATAATAGGAACATCCTGCAATTGCTTATAGCGTAGGCACTGTACATTGCTGAAAGGCTTTATGTAAATATCTCCTAGTAAATAGAAATCCATAGGTTTAATCATTCTGGTCGTTACACTTAAGTTATATACTTGAAATCCTACAAATACGACTAGTACATGATATGATAATAATAGCGCTATTCGAGAAACGTGATCTTTTACATGCGCCATTCACTAAACATGTGCAATATCTTGCCAAAACTTTGTGTTAAACATTACATTAATCGTTAGTTCTCAGTAGTTTTTTTATAGCTTTTCTTATTGTGATGTAAAATAATAGTATTAACACGCTATACAATGAAAAACAATAACGGTGCAAAACCAAACCAAGATTAAAGACATGATTGAAAAAATAAAGTATGGCTTAGGAGTTACGATTGTTGAACGCCCTCGTTTAATACGTAGAACATATTATACTTACCATATTAATGTATGCTGTACCTATAGATAATTTAATAAAAAAAATCCCTTCATACCTTCGCATTCAAGATAAAACGTGATACCGCTTAGTAGACAAATGAAAAACAAAATGTGCACATCATTGTAAAAACAACCGTTCTCGTTCCGATGCGTCTATTAAAACATTACGAAAATTGTACGTAGGTATAAACTGTATGTTAACTTTTTTCTTTTTTATATGTCATTTTAATTTCTTAGTATAATTTTTCGAAGTTGTTACAAATTTTATATTGAATGATTTTTCCATTAATTTTGTATGTAATTTTGGATGATACTCAACAGATTTTTATGGAAAGTGAACTATTAGCTGTTACTAATTTGCACTCCTAGTAAATAATTATTATATCTGAAATACGCGTACCTAAATTGTTTACCCTTAAAACATTTATATTTTTTTATTGGTATTGGAAAAATGTCTTTAATCTATTTTTTGCAAATTTAATCAAATGCATGTTTTGAATATATTTATTATATATATATATATATATATATATATATATATTTATATATGTATAGGCAATACATACTAAAGTATAAAAATACTTAAAATATTTCTTTTTATGCCTACTTATTATTATACTTATAATAGTTATTAATTATACCTATAACTTAGTATATACTGCAAGCATTCGATTCATTTTTCAACAGTTATTAGTTTATTTAAAAATCACTTCAATATAAATCTATACTTTTCCTATTGTAATAAAATTTAATAATAATTAAACATTTTTTGGCTCAGTATAAAGCATTAGTAAAATGTAAAAACCATGTTGACAGCTGGTTTGAATTGTGCATTTGTGGTCGTTCTCGTGGAGAACTTTAAATAGTGTTATATAATATATATTATATACTATACTATTATGATTTCTTCGAATTTTGCATGTATAAGGTATATTGTCATTACCTATGTAGGCTACACATTATACAGACTGTACCTGTACCAGGTGCACGAACGGAATGATTTGTTTTTGTTGTAAACGCGCTAGTTGTGGACATTGGCGAAGTGTAATTTCTTTTAATAACATACTATGGTCTATGTTTATATCTCTCTACAGAAATTAACATGATATTATGATAAGTGGTTTAGTCGTGTTTATGTATATTATATACAATATTATTTTATTTAACGCTGTATATTATGTATAATGGCAATATAAATATATTATAATAAATCATTTGACCTTAATGTCGTTGCCATACGAACAATCGTGTCGGAAAGGGGTTGAAATATGACCGTTAAAAAGTGTTCGTCGTATTATGTTCGGAAACGAGAAGAATATTGTTATTAACGAGATATGAGCATGGCTAATGGCTATACCATAAATGTCCATAATACACACACACATTATATAGTGGTTGTGTCCATTAGTCAAGTGCTACTTATTAACTGGGCCGCTTTTTTTATCCATTTAGTTTGCGTGTGCGTGAATGCCATCTTAAATCTTTAATTTTTTTTAATGTATTTCACACTTACAGCGCAATTAGTAGTAATAGTTATTTGTAATACTTGAAAACTCTGTTGCTTATGCATTAGTGTTAATATATTCATATATGTATTGTTAAATATCAGGGATTTAAACTAAGACGCGGGACGCCATTAACGGGACTATTATAGTTGAAGGCCGCATGAGTGAAATATTATAAAATATGCGAAAAAGTGTGGTGCTGTGTAACCAAAATTACGAAACTAAATTTCTCTAGTAGATATTTTAAATTTGTCTCACTGCTGCAACCATGTGACAACATATGACACTTATCTGTTATCATATTACCACATTATCATTAAATTATTTTAATTTATGTATTGCCTTATATAGGGTCACCTGGGATAATTATTGTAAACGAATGGGTTAATTTTAAATGATATTTTGTGAATAAAATAATTGGCAGTTATTAATTTTAACTCAAAAACTTTTAATTATAAGATGGTAATATGCTACATAATTAAATAAAATACAAACATTTTCTATGTTTTTTTTTTATATTAAACCCCACTTAACCTTAATTTATAAATAATATAATACAATTATATTGTGTAGTATTTAACAACTCGTAAAAAATATCTTTATTTAAAGTGGTTACACTGTCTCTCACCTTCTTGATTATTTCGTTTCTGATTACAAGAACAGTGTTTTTTGAAAGCGAAACCAACCAAATGTGTATATTACTGCTATTAATAGGTACCGCAATTGTTTCAATTTTATACTTAGGAGTGAGGCGAGAATAATTTTGTGCAGACCGATTTAATCTAATCCAACAGAATTTTAATATTGGTTGAGGTATTTTCCTACTTGTGAGGTTAAGCTCACAAAAATGCTCATATATTGTAAAATAGTAAATACCCTTAATTTAGTGTAGTTTGTATTTTTGCTAATTTCTAATAAATTAAAAGAAAATAACTGTTATGACGAAAAACAAATTAATACTCTATATTATCATATACACATTACCTACAATTTTTTGAGAACTATAGAATATTATGATTGATGTATATTGTGTAATGTTTAAAAAATAGCATAATTTAGGTTTTATTAGTTTCACTATTACATATACATGTGTTATGCATGTAATATTTATACCATATAAATGCTCGTTTATTTGCCAAAATAATTGTAACGTGATAATTCTTTACCGTCCCTTTTTTCTAGTTTTTCAGCATGACACAGTGAAAGTCACAGCGAAATCGTTTTAATTACTTTCTGTAATTTCTTTACTTAACACAGGTCACAGAGTACATTATAATAATAAAATAAACATGGCATCTTGTTTGCTTTTATTTTTTATCTAAAATCTCCGCAGACTGTACCTACGTCTACTATACCAATGTAAACTCAACAGTAGCGCATTAGGGTATTTTTTTTTTTTTGTGTAATTCGGAGTCTCCTTCACGCATCAACGACTAGAGTGTTCAGTGTAGTGGAGACAAACCGTCCCACGAAAAGTCTGCTTGAACCTACCTAGTAATGTCGTTTATGTGTGAAAAAATGAAACCGGTAAAGCGAAGCATATCTAGATGATACGCCGATACACAGGTCATTCTTTTTTTTTATACATACAACAAAAATTGACGAACAGCGTAACATAACAAACTTGTGTTTTCAGATCAGTTAGTCTTAAGATCATCACAAAAACATTGAACTGTATCTTTCACGTAAGGTTACCGCCCACCATTTTTGCTGTCGATTCCCATAGTTTGTATAGTGAAACTATGTAATGTTAATTACATCCAATTATCTCACCTGTAAAAAAATGTATTTCAATTTATCAAATGAGCGAAAACTCTTCATTTATTTTAGTAGTGAAATAAGTATTTGTTTAGAGAACCATATTATGAAAACCCATAACGATTTATTAAATTAATTTTACTTTCGTTAAAATGAATAACATTTAATGTAAAAGGTTAAGTACTCAATATGTTTGTTTATAAATATTGCTTTTAAAAATTCGAAAGTTTTTCACGTAACAATGTATGTTTTTATCTACCTTTTGTATAAGTGTTTTACCTTTGCCTGCCAAACGCGATGTAAAATGGAAAAGTATGCAGAACAACATTAGAATAAATGAAATAATTTACAAGAAAATATGCGGACAGATTGATGTTATTCTACTAATCCCTTTGATGACCACGTACTGGCACCTTGTACCTATCTCTATTCTATCTCTCTTCTACTTCAAATTATTTTGACGACGGCTCTTCGACATCCGCGAAGAACCCGAACAGCTAGCCGTAACACCGTCGGCAACTATCCATAGAGAATGTTTAATAGCTCGTATCATCTCTTTTGTCTTACGACAACATTTTAAGTCTATTTTTAAAAATGTTGCTACTTGCTTTTTATTAGACTATGTTTGTTAGGGGGGGGGGGAATTATTAAATTATAGATTGTCTTACATTTATTTATTAAAATGAATATAATATTGACATGTTAATTTTTGTGTAACTTTTTGTCAAAAACTTGTATGTTAAAAATATATTTCTATGGCCACTACAATTATATAAGATAAATACATTTTCAATACCCTCATCACGCCCTGTAAATACGCCACTGATACGCGTTCTATTCATAATTATTCGTCAAATGATCGAAGAACGCTGAAATTAAATATGATGGCACCAATGTGTTTTCTTTTATTTTATAAAAGAAGGTCCAGTTGTGTGCTGGCAAAACAAATATCATACAATTTTTTACTTAAATAACAAGTTCATTATCAAAATAATTATTATACGAAGTATGTAATCCTAAGGTTCAGACTTCAGCTCGTTTGGCAAAATGATAAACTTAAAAATCATTTTTTGAATGATTCACAGGTCAACGGTTTGGCACTGCCGTAAAACGCTGTGGACACAATGAACTTGAACAAACGGCGGTTGATATTTTGCACGTTCGTCTACTCGTGCGCGGCCATCGGCCTGATCGGCGCCGCCCTGGGCACTAAGAGGTGGGTGGTGGCATCGGCCAGGCGCACATCCAACACCACCGAGTCCGTGGGTCAAGTCAACCTCGGACTGTTCCACGGCGACAAGTACCTGAATATTGGATACGGTCTGCGCACGTACAGTGTTGACGGTAAGTTGCAAACACCGAATATGACCTGCACCATATTATTATAATCAATGATGTTATTATAAAAATATACAGACTCGTACCGTATTATATATGCATAGAGAGAGAGTATAATCAAACTAATAATTATCTATTACCATTCGGTATTCGACGGTACGTGCCGTCATTGTTGTACAAATTTAGAGGGGCTGCCTAGTGTATATAAATCTAATTCCCACAGCTGCCGCGACAACATGTGATTGGAAATGCGAAAAACTAAATTCCTCTATAGCTACATAATTAGCGTCCCGAAAAATGAAAACTAGCTCCTCTGCAAAACATAATAGTGGTGACTGGTGTGCAATGTTTTCTATCGAGTAGGAGTACCGTAGTCCGTATACCTAGATCATAATATTAATTTAATCAAACGATAATCCATTAAGTCGTGTAATCCTATTGTACTTATAAGAGTTAAGGCAATAAACCTTATAGTGCGTCTATATGTTTAGATTATTATTTTTTTTTATAACTGGATAGATTACGATTTACGGATATATATAGGTAATAGTTACTATTATTATATAAATGATCAATATAGACATTCAATCTACAATTGTGTATTTTCAATGAGCATGACCGTTTTCTGCCAATAGGGATAACGCCCGATTCCCTTTTACGCCAGACAGTACCTCTTACCCTTATTCGCCAAAAAAAAAAAATGATATTCTAATTAATCGATGAATTGCCTAAAAAGAAGTTGTCATACCAGTAGATCGCGCATTTGAATGAATCATGTAGGAATTAAAAAACAAATAAACTCGTGTACGAGATTTTTGTCCAATAGTTTATAAAGGTGAAATTTGTATTTTTATACATATAGGTGATCGACAATATTTACAAATTAATAATATTAGCAAACATAAAAGTTTAAACAGCGTAAATACAAGTATGCAGAAAACATAAGTAAAGCTAGGTTTGAACATAATATGTTGAATAGAAAAAGATGAACTTAATTATATAATTAATCAAAACAACTTTTTAAAAAAAATCATCGTCAATAATATAATAGTAAAAATCATTAAAAATACATTAAATAACCTGGATATCAATTTCGATTACTAAATTCATGACTGATCAAATATAATAAACGTTTTAAAAGTGTAAAAAACACAACGCAACTATATCGATTAGGTAATATCTTAGTTTTTTGTCTATTTGCTGTAATGTTTTTGGATAAAATACCTTGCAAACTAACTGATTATCAGATTATATTTACAATTAGTTGTGTGACACTGTTGATAGGCATAGACAACATCATAGGTATAATAGTCGTTTAATTTTATATAGGCTAAAAAATCATTTAACTTTGAAAAATAAAGGTTAGTTTTTACTTTTTAGCAAGACCGACTGGACCACTGTGTACTCGGAGTTTACCGGCATAAACATTTATTTTATAAAATTAAGACCCAGGGGTACCACATATTTTGCAGCAAGTCCAGTGGCGGATTTTCAACATTTTCTTGGGGGGGGGGGGGGGTCCTGAAAAATGATATGTATTTCAAAGGCATTATTTCTATTAAAAAAGTGTTGCCTGTATTTTTATTTATATATTATAAAATATTCGTCATTCACACATAAAGTTTAATGTTAAATATTATATTATATTTATTTTACAAAACAAAATCGACTCTTCTTTTTTTTTTTTTACTAAGTTCGGTTAATACTGAATCAACTGTTAAACAGCTTTCATCCCTGTGAATCGACATCATTGCCAAGCCGTTCAATCGAGCCTGAAATTTAATTAAAAATAATATTTTTATTAATTAATTTTTCAAATAATTTTTTTTTAAATTTGACATAATAATTTATCCTTACTTCAGTCATGGTATTTCTTAGATATGTTTTGATTCGCTTCAAATTTGAAAAGGTGCGCTCATTTGATGCAGTGGAGACTGGTAAAGTAGCAAGGATCTGGAATAATTTCAAGACACTTGGGTATATTTCTTTGTTACAAACAGTCATAGCTTGGAGTGCGTTTTCCGGTTTTTCCGTCATGTTTTTTAATCTTCTTCGCCATAACTTGTACTCCGTTGATAATAACGAATGGTTTATGGACTCCAAATCATCTTTGTAATAATCGGCTAATTTTATGAAGTTATCTTCATTTTCTTCGGATTCAAATAATGACTGAAAATTATAAAGTATACTTTTATGATGGACAAATCTTTGTTCAAGTTCATTAATGTAAGAATAAACATGTATGGAATAAATATAGATATGCGGTAGTATTCTTCGGTGGATTTTGTTTGAATGTTCGTTCTATACTTGTCTTCCTGTATTTCTAGGCATTGTTATATCTACTTGAAATTTTCCAGCTAAATCAAGTGCCGCTGTATATACTTGTTGAAATGTTTTTTGAGCAGTATTTCTAAATATCTTCATTTCTTCTAGAGTTTCAGCAGCTAATTTAGTTGCTAATCTCAAATCAATGTTTACTTTTTGCAATTGTTTTGATAGAGGTAACCCAAATCCAAATCCTTTTTTAAAATTAATAATGCAATAATGAATTCTCCATCTAACATGGATTTTCGCAATCGTTATGCCTTTCCACTAGTATCACTATCATTCCATTCCGATATTTCACCGAAAGACTCTTCAACAAATTTGAAAACCTCTAAAAAATCATGCACTGCGTGGTATCGTTCAATCCACCTCGTTTCACAACTACGTTTCAGTGTTTTTTTTTGTAGTGTCATAAGAAGAATCTAGGATTTACTGTGATAAAACGTTTTTTCGTTTGGGAAATATGAAGAAATCTCGAATTTCACTAATTAAGCTTAGACAATTTGTAATTTCCCGAGTTCGACTACTCGTATTGCGTTACCGTATGTCCGCGTCAGTCAAATGTCAATACTAGTATTTCAGTACAAAATAGTAATATAATCGTCCCTTCTAAAAGAACTGTTAAAAGGAAAAATACGTATAAATTCACTATCGCAACATAATCGATTACTGGAAATACAGATATTGTAGCTATAATAATCGTCAATAATTTAACATAATATCAGCAATTTAATGCGAATGGCTAATACACATACAAGCTTTCGATAGGGGCAGGTAGTAGGTACTCTTCCGTTTGCCTACACAAGAATAGATAAGATAATTGAAAACATTTTAAAATATCAAAAAATTATACTTCAACATGTTATTTTATTACATTAAATATATACTTCATTTCAAATAAAACATTATATCAGCGTTTGGGGGGGGGGGGGGGTCCAGACCCCATGGACCCCCCCCCCCGTAAATCCGCCACTGAGCAAGTCTATTAAGACTCGGGCATTGCCGTAATTGTATTATATTAGGTTCATCACTTGTATAAAGTTATTGCGCGGTTCTCGTTTAGTTTTGCTAAGTGCCCACGGACTTAAAAAAAAAAAATATTAACAACAATTACGACCTCCCACCGAAAGTAGACCGTCCGACACGACTTAGACCTGACCTTATCAGTTCTGCGTACTTATTTGTCTGCACTGCTTTACGGTACCCACACGGCTGACGGCGCACGGATATTCACGATTGAATCCGTAATTAGGCTTCTAGGTGCATCGTATTCGGTATCGGTGTATACACGAATGTGTACGGTGGTTCCATTATTAAATATACAGACGACTTGTCGGACCGAATAATCTGTTAGTTTCACTCGAGTCGAAGCAGCAACTGCGGACGTTTCTTCGCACAATGGTTCTCCATCTAAACGTCTCCCCTACATACAGTTGGGCGTTAGACGCACGACATTAAACGTATTCATTCGTATATGTAGGTATAAACGGTTGCTATCTATTATTATTATTTATGTACCTGCCCATAAGTGTCTATGACTCCTTTGCTCCTTAATAGTATAGGATAGTCTTGCACGAAAGTAGCTCTTTCTATTTGTAATATATACGGGACACGCGTGGGCGCTGAACACGAACACTATGGTATTGTGATTATTATTAAGATTGCGAAACTACATATCCCCAGGGTAAAGAAACAGGCAAGGTACATCTTGGTTGATATCGATTTTTTATTGTAATCATGTTTTGGATATCGTATTGAATTAACCCTGTATGATTATCAGATTAGTCACTTTCTGTGCCAACGGTCCTGCATACAATTTTTTTAATTTCTCGTCGTTCGACCTAAAAATAGTTAAAAGTATTAAATAAATTCAAAAAATATTATACTGAATTCATGCCGGCGTTTTCCAGAGCTGTAGCTGTAAATACTAATTAGATAGTACCTATAGTTAGTAAAAGAATTTAAGTATAGTTTTTTCCTAAGAGCTAATAGTATTTGCACATTTTGAATTACTTTCTATTAGAACCTAACTTTCGAAATGCATTGAAATTCTATCAATGAAAACTTCCAATGTTGTACCTTTTATTATTTCTATTATTCATAGGATTGTGTACATATATTCAAGGTATTTCGAATTTCGTGGCCCACCTGAATTTTTTTTTTATATAAATACTAAAATTAGGGTGGTTTTCTTTTTGATTTCCTAGGCTTGCATGTCATATCTAACCCTAGCATTGCTCCCATCTTTAATTCCCACGTTTTTCCAGTAACTAATGCCACAATATCTTTCATCTTGATCTCTGGTTACACTTTATAGTTTTTTTTTCTTTTTCCTTTTTATCTATTTGTTTTTTCTATACTTAACAATGACATTTTTTTTATTACCTACTAAAATAGCGGGTAATAAGTCTCTATTGATTGTTGGTCAATGTCTCATGGTCCTTATTATATTTGTCACGATAAAAAGGAAATAATAAACATTATAAATAATTATATAGATACACTACCTAATAGTAAAATGTGAATAGCGAAACAAAATAATTCAAAATCAATACAAAGTTTTGTTGAAATACAATCAGATTTCATCAATATATTTCATTTTACATAGAATTTCTTTGAGTCTGAAATAATAATCGATATAAATTTTAATTCTGTTGCAACCTAATTTTATTCACTTTTTACGACTGATATGAGGTACAAACAATGGAGGTGTTTTGATTCCCCTACATTGGGAAATATCTTATTTCTTTGTCATTTCTACAATATTTTCTATTAGCTGTTAAGTTTCAACACATACACATGACACCTAAGACAACAAATTAGAATATTAGGACAAGGTACTGCACTAAATCCAGTACAGTTTCTATAATTTATAGAGTATACTGTTAAATTTAATATTGCAATAATCTGTAAAGTATATCTTATGTACAACAAACATCGTTATGATCGAAGCCGTATTTGGAAGGAAGTTTATGGGTTCACCCTCCTTAAAATAATATGTATATATTATACTATAAAATATGGGTATTTTGTTGATAATATAATTGTTAATGATGAAAATGTAAATTATAATATACAGGGCATGCCAACAAAATTAATTATGTAGAGCGTTTAATTTGCAGTTAGTTTTTAAGCGAAACTGTTTTCTTCGATTTTATTCGTTTTTTTTTATACTTTATACTTTTATAGTTATATTTACATTAAAAATTAGTATTTACCTATTCATTTAAGAACTTAAGAAAGTGAAATTGTAGAACTGATTTTTCTTTTAATTTTAATATTTAATTTATAACCTTGTTGGGTATTCACGCGATAAATTTAAACTGATTTTTTTATTTTTTAACAAAATTATTTGATTTTAAATTAAAGTTTGATGAGAAATAAACTGTTGTTTTACATAATTAAAACAGCGTCTGTAGTGTGCTAAATACTTGTTGATAGATACCATCGATTTATGAATGAGACAAAGATAGGATAAAGTAAGCACCAATTGATTTTTAATACGTGAAATGGGGAAATGTAATTGCATAGAGACGACCAAGAACGGTTGATTTTGGATACTTATTATGGTTATCGAGGCGCTTCCTTATATCAGATGAATTCAATGACGTTTTTTTAAAATAAATAATTGTTTATTTTATTATTTTGTAATTATACTTGTTTTATTATTATCAGTGATCGAAATGATGAAAACTGACCCAGACATGATGGTGTACAGTTTGTGGGTATTGACTGTCATTGGCATGATGGCTGGTCTAACGATGGCTGTGGCGGCAGCGGTTTTTGCAGTGATCAATTCTGCCATCACGCCTATATCTGCTCTGGCCGGTGTGCCAGGCTTATACTTCTGGAACATCAGTGCAAGTAAGTATTGTGTTATAATAAAAACTGATGAATTTCAAACGAATACTTTACATCTTATTTATATATGTGTTTGTTAATAGTATTTTTCGAACTGTTTGCCGGTGGCCTCTGGGTGGCTCAGTATTACCAGAGACTGCAATTCAACGTGATGAGCAAAGACGACCGGCGAAACAAATGGACGTCCGACGGAAATGCTTCTTTGGGATTCTCATTTTGGTTTGTGTACTAAGTTATCTTGATATAAATCAAACAGTGACGTTTTTAGTCGGTTTATGTCTAAGGGTAAACTTTTCTTAAATGACAAGAACTTAGAATATAAGAACGGTTTCTCTTTATTGTATTCTAATCATCATTTTTTTCTGGAGGCTTACATTTTTGTTGTATAGGTACTAGTGGTGGGACTATTCGAGTATTCGTTATTCGAATAACGAATATTAGAATTTTTTATTCGAATATTCGCTGGATTATTCGAATATTCGATCTGATTTTTCGAATATTCGAATATTTTATCATTTTTTTTGCAGGATTAATTAGATTAAAAAAAAATAATAATTAAGAGACAACTAAGGGGTCCTTGATCTATTTTTAATAATTTTTTAACAAAATAAATATAATTATAACCTATTATTCTTTTGACAAAATAAATATTATTACTTATTACAAAAAATAAGATTTTAACAATTTATATAGACATATAATAAATTACAAAAAAATATAAATTTGACAAAATATTCGAATTATTTGATTACTATTCAAATTATTCGATTACTATTCGAATATCCGAATTATTTTCATACGAATAGTATTATTCGACTATTCGAGGTCTCAGCTCGAATAGGTACGTAACGCCAAATAGATACTAGTCAATTTCTCGAGCTGTCTTTTTTCAGGATTGACAATCTTCTTTGTCCTTATTCTTTGTAGTCCTAAGTCCTTGAGATCCTACACTAGGAAAATTCTACTTTATAAAGTTTTTTGTACGTGACTACTCTAAAAAAGCAAAATATATGCAATATTTGATAAAAAAATGATTTTAATAAATTTCCATTATAACAGCGTTAATTTGTATTAGGTTTAGGAATAACTTAACGTAAACAATTGGTTAGTGAGTAGTAGCCAAGTTTTTATAAAAATGTCAACATGAAAAAAACATTTTTTTTTTCAAATTTCACAGATTATTTGACTTAATTTTGGCTTTTTTAAATATTGTTGCTTTAGGAGGCTACCCTGTTAACTTGGTCCGCCCATACAAATAGTATTTACCTTAAAAACCTTAAAAAAAGAAAACGAAATTTGAACTCTTCACTCTATTCTTTATTATGACGTATAATATGATACATAGTATAGCCTTTATACTATTTAATACTAGTCTATACAGTATATTATATTATTTACATTATGCTGTACTAAACACATAACTTTAAAACTTTTAGTTATTTAATTTTATGTTTTTGTATTTTCAGGTTTGTTATCTTCGCTTCGCTTTTACATATGATAAACGTTTTCACAGTCTTTTGGGCAACCAACAGTCGCACTAGGAAGTCACCGTCGCCGATTATTGAAGAAAAAACAAACGGAGCGATCATGCTCTACTAGCACTAAATACCTATTGTTTTATCGCCATCAATGTCAATACATATTATTTGTAATTAACTTTAAGTGTTTATACAAAATATTGTAAATACATTCCTTTTTTATACTATAACGTAATTATTTTGTTATCTTTTTTGTTTAAATGAAACATATTATGACTGCACAGGACCAGCGTAAAATTTGTAGTGGCTCAGTACAAGGTTTAGGGCTTGATAAATGAAAGGGGGGGGGGTGGTTAAAAAAAAAATAATCCATATTTATTAAAGTGTTGTTAGGCCTCGGGTATCGGCACTACCTGCCCCTCCCCCTAATACCAGTCTAGTACTGGACATATTTGAAACATGCTGATTTACTTTCTGCAGTTTTAATCAAAACCAAAAATAAATGAATAGCAATCTAAAACAATAATAAAATATATCTATAGGTCTATAATAAGACATTCACCATTCTGCTAAATATTTAAAATAACTCATAATTTTAGAAAAATGGCTACTGTAACTGGAGCCGCTTTGTAACTTGAAACAATGCCAAGAATAGTTATTGACTTCAAAGACGCTTTGATGCTATCTGTGGACACTGTACGTCATTTTTTTTTAATTCCTGGTAGCTCAATTATACATTGAATTATCAATTAATGAACCAATAAACAAATATGGGTCATTCAAATGAGTTAAAATTTTAATCGACTATAGTTATATTATTTATATAAAGTTTAACGTTATAGCTGTACGAGTACAAAATACTTAAATACATATTTAATAGGGTAAAATATAAAATATTTCTCCTGCAATTTCTAGATCAATAAAATAATAGCAATAGGTTAGGACTAGTGTAGACAACATATTTTGTGTAACTAAATATCGTGTAAGTACAGAGTACCTAATATTATAGGTAGGTACCTTGTAACTATATAGTATTTAGGACAACGGAGTTAGATGAACTTGATTTTTTTAATTTCAGTGTGAACTGCGTAACCGAGAAGGTATTGATTTTACAATGATGTGTCTTTTTGTTTTGGTCTGGCCAAGCTATATCTTAGGTTGCTGAATCGACTCACTTGGAAAGCACATTAACCGATCAGAAATCTCATTTAGTCAGTTTACTCCTTTCCCTACAAAAAGAGGGAAACGAAACAAAAGTTACCGATTTTTCTTATTTAAACTTTTATACAGACTAAATTTTCATATAATACATACAATCTCTGCTATAACTTGGTGAACATTTAAGACTGCATGCCCACATTCGTCCTTTACTAAGAGACTTATCTACTTACCTATTGCTGCAAGGTTTACTTATAAAAAACATAAATATTGAATTCATGAATTTTTAGTAATGTTTTTTAAGACAAATTTAAAGTCATGGAATTAAGGCCCTTTCAGCCAATTCATATTTTATAACTTTATATGTTATCTAAACTCTAGTTAACGTCACATTTAAAATTTTGTTGTGTTAATTGTACGTGTTGCCTACCCTGTCGGTATGAAATGACAACACTTCACAGTTCACTTTCCTCTGACCGCCATATTAATATACCTAATACATGGTACTATAAGTACCTAGGTATTTCCCATTGTCTAGTGTCTACTGTCTACCTTGGGCCTACCTACAACATATATCCTTATAAATCTGATTTCCATTAAATATATATAAATTATAATGTATAATGTGGTCTTTGCTATTACAATGTAATAATGTTTATGTATTAAATAATCATCTATCATAATTCATAAGTGGCAACTTTTTAAGTACTAATTATAAAGCATCTTAAACGATATTTATAATATTTTAACACGGCTGTTAGTGGATAATAGACATTTATACTTATAAAACCCCATTTAAATAATATGATGGACAACTCTTCTGGCAGAAACAGTTTTAATACGAATAATATGACATGGATTCATTGCAATATGTGTTTTAGTCAGCCTATGCCAATAAATGATGACAGTAAAGTATTTTACCTAACGAGTTGCGGTCATATATTTTGTGAAAATTGCGGCTGTTTCGCAGATAGTAAGATCACCAGAATAATTATTAAAAAGTTGTTTTTTTTTTAAAAAATAAAACACGAATGTATTATACATTTCTGATGTCTTAATATATTTTCTATACACACTACCTACAGCATAAATAATATTTTAATTTAGATACTTCAAATAGCTGTAGAGAATGTAAAAACGAGTGTTCATACACTGCTCTAGGAGATAAGGTATATTATATAGGTTGATTTCTGTTTGTTAATTTATTATTATAAATTTATACTGTGTATTAATCTTATCTTACTATATGTATCAATTTTTAGACAAACAGTCAAGTATTAGAATACTTTCAGGATCCTACAAATACCTGTGAAAAATTATTACAAGTAATGAAATTTCAAAGAGCTCACAGAAATAGATTAGTTGGACATCATCAGCGTATTGTAAGTTTTTTATTTATAGGTAATATATTTTCAGAAAGATAACACAAATGTTAAGTAAATTTTTAATCGTTTTGTTTATGATTCATGAATTTAAACTCGGAAAATTGATATCTATATATGACAATTTGTATACCGAGTACAATTTACTATAAGTCGTAAAATATTAAGTTAGCAACGTTGTGGAATGGGACATAGGTAAAAGGTGGCAAGGGAGTTGTTCTAGAGACGGTAGTAATGAAGCAATTATCTGTGGCTAATACAAAATAATGAAGTTTGTGAGATAACGGCTTTTTCAAATTACAAAAATTTGAACAGCAATTTTGTTTTGTTACTTACGTGCAAAGTTACAACTTATTCCAATTTCCCTTATTATATTTGTTTATTTCTGTTTACACTCAATAATACCACCATTTTTTCTATATTTTATCACTTATAATAATTTTTCAGTTAGCTAAATACAACAGAGCAAAACTATACATTAGAAAACTAGAAAACGAATTGAAGATGGCAAAAAAGTATATTATATACATTAACATTTTTTTCAAGTTACAGATTTGAATTAACATGATAAATTTTATATTTTTAAAGTGCTTTTCAAACGAATATACATTCAAATTTAAATAGTACTAATGAGAGTAATCCAATTTTTCTACTTCATTCAACACCTTTTAAGCTAATAAACGCAGAAGCAAAACGTCGTGAAAGTACTTCCCCCAAATTAACATTTAAACTTACAGATGCTAAATACCGGTAATAATAATTTTAATGTAGGGGTTTTTAAGGGCGTAAAAGAGAATTTTCTATTCTCGTTAAATTAATGAAAGATGTACAAAAAAAGTAATGTGAACAATCATTACAAGTGTTATAAAATACGTACAATTTTTAATTAATAAATAAATTGCATTTATAACTAGGTCTAACCAAAGCAATGTATCTGAAGTATCATCAGCAAAGACCGATACAGCAATTCCAACTCCTCGTTCTTCATCAGCTTATGAAAGGTAATTGAAAATAAGTGTTTACAAATTATTCTAATAAAACATTTTAGTTTTTAAATTAGCTGTACGCGGTAAACAGTGTAATATTTAAAAAAAATATTTTATTATAACTTAAATGACTTATCTTTAACTTTTACTATTAATAATTATGTTTTTTTAGTGCTTTTAAGGATTGCAGTAGTAAACAATTTCCATTAGTGAGCAATCTTAATTTAAGTTCAACAAGTTCAAAGTAATACTGTTAATTTAAGTCGCTATTATAATTTTACATTTTGATTGAAGAAGGTTAAATATTATGTACATTTTCAAGTTAAAAAAATCATTTAATTTTTACCTTTATATCTATGAAAAGTATTCATAAATATATAAAATAAAAATAGCCAGTAAATCGATATCATAAAACTATCTAAACTTATTACATACATTCTGACTACATGTGTAAGTACTATTTCTGTTTTTGTTAACCCTTAATCTAATATAAGAAAAAACCCATTTTATAATTTGTTAGGAGTAATATCCAATCCTTGGTTTTATAGAATATAGTCAAATATTATTATTTATTTAGCTATTACATGTTTTCAAAACAATCAAATTTAGTTTGTATTTGATTTAAAAATAAATCTAATATAAGATAAAACAAATTATGTGTTGAATTTATTTTTATTGAGTAACTATTCTCAATAAATGATTAGGACAAAGTATTTAAGACAACAAAACTAATTTAAATAACACATTTTCCATTTTATTTGTTTATACATCAACAAAAATATATCAACAAAATCCCAAATAATCACTTAACGACAAGTGTCACCAACAATTCTAACCCCAATGTAAATATTTACAACAAATATAATCATAATATCCATTAAACTAAAAAAATAGTAATTACCTTTTGACTACAATATGTTAAAGCAAAATATGTAATCAATAATCATCTATACAAGAATTTATATTGACAACATAATATTACAAATTACACTAAAATAACAATAGAATTAAATCTTAAAAGTATTTTTATTATTGAGAATTGTTGTCCTTTATATTATTGATTATACATTACTAGTTTACATACACGGTTTATTGTAAAAATCTTTACCACCATTTGAATAGTCTACAAGAACATAATAAATAAATACATTTGGATCTTGATTCATAAGGTGAAACCTAATTGTAACATATTTTTGGTTATTCGTCGATTTATGTGTAAAATTACTTGACTGTAAATACATTCACAACCAATAATTTGAAAAAAAAAGTTCCCAAAATTAATTACATATTTTATTTATACATTTCAATCATAAAACACCCGTAACTAAAATGATATAAACAATTATTCACGCTAACACAGTAATTTTACCCATTACGATTAAATTAAATAACATTAAAATTTAATAAAAACAGTTACAAAAAAAAAAAAAAAAAACGACAGTGCATGTTTTGATCTGATTTTTCATGTTTATTCTGTTTATTTTTTTTATTACGGTAGGTATAAACTTTTTTTAACTGTTACCTTTATTGTATGCGTTTATAATTAAATAAGGTAGAATTAACTGTTGATGAATAGTTGTGAACGTAATTGATAAATTATCATAGTAATTATCAAACTATCATTTTATATATTGACTTGTATGTTATATTGAATTCAATAGTTAGAAAATAAAATAGGGGCTTTTTAATATTCCCACAATCATAAATAAATTACAATTAAGTTTGTCTTATATTGGTTTATGTAACATGTTTTTACATATTATAATTTTCACATAACGGCATTTTTGTTAAGCTATTTCACAAAGGTTCACAAACCTAATAAATCAGAATTTATGCTAGGTGAATCCTTGCACAACAACTACAATATTGAAGTTGTTGTATTGTAAAATAATATAATATTGAATAATTATTTATAAACAAAAATAAATTTTGTGCAGGTGGAGTAGCAACATATTTATGTGAACAAATATTGTAAATATTAATAAATATTAAACATACAGAACTTTGGGGTTTTACCACTGCGGCTTAATATCAATAATATTATGGTAGTAATATTAAAGTATTGTACAACACATTTTTAATTTACAAAAAAGTTACAAATAAAGAAACAAGAATTTATTGATTAAACAATAATTATTTTTCTAGAGATAAAAAATATATGTTATTGTTTATTAATAATATTATCGATAAAATTTATAATTGTTCATCAAAATCATTTATTACACAAATCAGGGGAGAATCATAGTGTATATACATATTTAGTATATAATATCTTTAAGTTACATTACAACGGAAGTTTTTTTTTTGAGCTTAATATTGTACAATAATTATGTTAAGATTTAAGTACAATTTATTATTAAAATTACACAAAAGCTCATAGAACGGAATTATTTATCTTAAAAATTTAATATCTGCAATATAATAGTTTATCTGCTGGCAGTGCTTTAAAAATAAAGCTTGTAAAAAAGTAATACCAGAGTAAAAATGTCAGTTATATATATTTATTAAAGAGAATGTAGATGTTATAAACAATTTTAGTTTTTGAGTTACCCCAAGCAATTTAAAGGCTGATGATAAGCAATAATCATCTATATGATGTATGATTTTATAATCTGAGGAGACTAGAATACTTTGGGTGGAAACATCCTATTAAAAAGCTTCGAACATATTTATTCTCATCGTACAAGATTTATTAGATGTTGACTAGAATTAGAATAGTTTGTCTAAAATTTTATATTTAATTAAAGATTTTAATTTAAAAAACTTCAATTATTTTGATTCAAAAGCCTAATATATCGCATAAGCGTCGGGAACATTGGTTTCTATCATGCGAAACCTGTTTTCTAAATATATTTGAAATATGTAAATAATTTCTTTCACTTAAAGATTTAAAGTTATCACAAATATTTATTATCAATAATTATTATATTATAATATCTATATTAATATACGTAGAATTTGTGTTTGAAAACCAAGTTTGTATACATCTCAATTCATAAAAAATAATCTATAATACCTAAATATCTTTAAATAATAATAATACATAAATTATCTGATATCGAAACTACCAAATGAATTTAAAAGACGACACATATTTTTATTATTTTATGTAAGGTGTAATTTATTGAGAATAATTATCAGTTAAATCTTATTTTAATGTTATTATTATTTAACGTAGGAAGTTATTCAATGGAAATGCTACTTAGTGAAACACCTAATGAGCTTTGTTTAAAATAACATAGCAGAGCAGATGATATATTTTAACCTTGTTATGACAGACAACAAGTAACCTATTTCCTTTCTATGAATGTTTAAAAAAAGAAAAGACTTAGTGATAAGCTTGAATAATCATAAAACTATTGAGATATAAAGATTTATTTGTACATCATTAAGTATTGTAATATAGGGAACTTACTACACTGGCAAAGCGCGATCGCTTATTATTATTCCTGATCAGAATCTCCTTCACTAGAATAGTCTTGTATTGAAATAGGTCTTGTGAAAGGTGTGATTGTCATTTGACTACAAACAAAATAAAATTGAATATACATTTATCCAAAACTTAAATAAAATTGTTTACAGTAGTACTCACGCTTGCTTTCTATAGTAGTTTAACCATTCTTCGAGCATTTGAGCGACCAACAATGGACGTTTATGCAAGCGTTGTCTGGCTAGTAGTAAGCCATTGTCTGTTAAGCAAACATCTAACCATTGCCTTAAGATATTCTCTTCGTGACCCATCTGCATTGGTTAAATAACAATGGTTAGAAAATTAATTAAATTTTAAATTATAAAATAATCGAAATATTACTTCAGATTTTGTAACAAAATGTATTGGCAACAATTTATGATCGTGATCAACCAGAGGTAAATATGTGGTGCTTTTTCCACGTGGTAGGGGTTCTACAGGTACAAGTGAAGAAAAATGGCCTCGAGTGTATGCCAATGTTATTGGTGATTTGATACAAAAACTTGGCTCCCACAAAAGAGGTAAGTAAACACCTAATAAAAAAATTGAGAAATAATTTTACTCTCATTAGGCATATTATATATATATATTTATAATGTTCAAAATATAATACCTTCAAAATTGGTATAGCCTAATCGGTCGCCGCGATAATTTTTCACATATTTAACAGCGTATACAATTATTGGTCTACGCAAAACATGGGCAAGTGCAAATACATGAAGCTGAGCTAAGCTCGATCCCGGTCTTTCTGCTTGAGAAACTAATGCAGCCCAATCCTCGGCCCATTGATACTCATCTAAGCAAAACTCTAATTGTTTGGCTTGCCATGCCTCATACTCTTTCCATCTTGGATAAAACCTTTATGACAATTTTTAAATTAAGTTAGACAATGGGTAAATAAAAGAAAATATACATAGTATACTTACAACATGTTACTTTCATGTAAACAGTCAGCCAATGCTTTCCTAAGTATATTATCCTTGTCGAAAATACCCCAGGTCGACTGCATCAATGAATCTAACAAACAATCACCCGCTGAACGGTTCCAAAGGGCATACAGTCTTGAACCTAGATCGTCACACACTTCTGTCGACCAATTGATTACAGGTGGTACTTCTTCTATTTCCAACTCTTGCTGAACATTACGGTCGAGTAGTTCATCAAGTAGTTGCCTTTGTACAAGCCGAGGTAGTTCTTCAATTTCTAAAAAATTTGAAAACAAAATAGTAACACAAAATTATTTCTATACTTTTATAAATAATAAACAAAACTATTTAGAAAATTGTGTTGACGACTTTAAGGACTTACCATAGGGTAAGGAAAATGTTGCAAATTCTGTTACAAAAGGACAAGGCATAAGTGATTTTCTCACACGAATCGTCGAGAGAAAATGTCTTCCAATCTCATCAGCAAGTTGATGAGCTACATGAGAAGGTACTCGTTTGACGGTTGTTGAGCTACTAGTTGCATTAATTTCGTTTAAAAGTTTAGCCAAAATTTCTTCCCGATGAAACCTAGTATAACAAAAATCAAGTACCTTTATTATCTTGTTCTATTTTATAGTTAAAAAAATACTTTTTATAAGCAGAGAAACTGTACTCTAAATATAGCAAGAGAACATCTATTGTCTTATAGTGAAATTCTTGTATGTCTATCATTGAGAAAATTGTGTATACATTCAGACTAAAATTAAATATTTTTACATCCCTTGGATTGGTTAAATAACATGATAACTTCTCCCTAACTCATTGTTAGCTATATTTTTGAGATGACTATATATGATCAACTTGACTAAATAAGCATCTTTCATTGTTTGATTTTCATATATAATTTATTAATTTTAAAATAATAATAATTATCTATTGGTAATAGTGTATCATCTAAATCTATTGAGCACATATAAATACAAGTAATAATTATTTACCTCACAGCCAAGTGAACCAATGTATGTCCAGTATCAAATGCTGATGGTCTATTAAGTAATGTTACTTCAGTTGATGTCAATGACCTTGTTGGATCACCACCAGCTTGTAAATATGCTGCGATGGGACTCCAATCCCCTTGTACTACACCAACACAAGCAGCAAGCCAAGCACGATCATAATTGCTGTTGACTTCATCTAAACGCCTTCTTGATGAAGACCTATAAAATTACAACGGTTTTAAAATAAATGTTCACTAATGCCAAGTTCATCTTTGCTTTAACGCAGAGCTGAGGCCTGAATTGGGTTCACAATGCAATTATTTTTTGGACCCACAAAAATTTGACTGATTTCAATAAATAGCATTTCTATAGATCTCATATCTCATTCTCTACAAGTCAAAAATCAAGAAATTATGATATTTTTCAACTTAACCCAACTTAGGTCATTGATTGCTTCTAGAGTAACAGATCAGGATTTGTATTCCCTTTAGCTATTTTTTCCTCTTGGGGGTTTGAAGGTTCGAGTCCCTATCCAAACGAAATTCCCCAGGGGCTTGAACCAACTCTTGTAGCCAGCAGGCTGCAATTACTATTATTAAAATTCAATATATGTTGGCATAATAAATATTTCTAATGGCATGTTGAGTATCCAAAAAAAATTGACCTCTAAAGTTCAGAAGTTGGCAGTTGTTAATTATTTTAACGGCCAACTGCCGCGTTGCCTGGGCTGTCTACGGCTGATAGCCCAGCTCCGCGACGTGTGAAGCGGTAATTCTTTAAAGTTATTACTTATTTGGCTACAACTAAAAACTAAGTGTAACCAGAAAAACCTTAAAATATTGTCATGTGTAAAGAAAATTTTTATAGAAAAAAAAATAAAAAGGATAAAAATAAATACTATAAATTAAAAAAAAAAAGTCATTTGGTAAACTAAATATTTAATAAATAAATCATACCTTTTTAAACTACATATATTAGAATCAGTATTAAAAGTAGCTGCCAGATCTTTCTCTGGTGATTTAACTCGTTTTGTAACTATAGTAAGAGGTTCACTAATTGTGTGATCAGGGGATGGAGATGTTTTGCGAGGACCTCTTGTTCCTGAAAAACGTAAAATTGTTTTAAACAAAGATTGTATTCCATATAAGTTTAAAATTTAAAATTACCACACATAACACATTTGGAACTCTTAGGCCAGTTTTGATAAGTGCACGCAGAACAAGACCATTTGGAAAGTGCCCGGGCTTCTAAACTAGATGAAGCTTCTTCATTTTCTGGGGAATTAGATCTCGCGCTAATCTTTAAATCAGTATTAAATTGTTCATTTAATGCACTAACGACACTACTCTCTGTAACTTTATCACACTTGCTGATTTCACCAGATGCTGTAAAAAAAACAACATTTACTAATATTGAAATTATAAATTTAAATGTATAGTAAAATATTTACCTTCAATTAATTGTGGTTGGGGTGGTTCTGCGAGTTCATCACGTAGGCTATAAATATCTTGGGTTTGGGATAATTGCCTTTTTGGAGTCCTGCACATGACGCACTTTAATGACGAATGGTAATTGTCATATGTACACATGTCGCAAGACCATTTCAATGTGTTTTGGGTAGTCATTTCCATCAGTTGATACCCAATTTATTTATCAACTGGTTTTTTAATCAATAATGAAAAAAAAGAAGAACTCATAACACTAAATAACAAAGTAAAACAAAAAACAGTTAATCATAAAAATGTGAAATAAAATTGAAATTTACAAACTCGAGATTTCAATAAAACAAAGAATTTGGAACAATAAACATGATGGCCTACATTCGTGTTAAAAACGTCTGAAAATGTTAAGGATGGCCTTGTTATGATTTTATTGATTTCAAAACCAAGTTAGAGTTGGCCCATCAATCGCGTTTTGAGACGCAACCCAAACGATTTTCGATTAAAATAATCACCGAGCTTGTGACATCAGTAAAATTGAATAACTGACATAGCACTTACTTCTGTGATGTAATTAGAATTAGATAGTTTCGGCTATTCGGAAACGAAAATTTGAAGGGGAAAAAACTAGAAAACAATTTGTATGTGTCTTAAATCTAATTAAAATCGACAGACCGTAATATTATAATAATTTCTTACAATTAAAAAACAAAACAAAATTTACTAAACATTGATCACGAGAAATACTTCATTGTAAAAAAAAAGAGAGAGAGAAAGACGAAATCATATTATATGATTATCCTGATAAGATGTTTTTGTTCATTGGATAATGTGGAAAATGTTACAAAGTAAACGGCCGTGTCGTCATTACACTTCTGAAGTTAGGTACACGCCCCCGCCCAGCGGCCAACGCTAAAACTAAAAATATAAATTACCCATAATCTATATTCTATAATCTATTGCCAATTGCCATTTATCATTCGTGATGGTTGATGTGTGTTCTGTGACGATTATCAATTATGGCAAATTGCGATTTAAAGAAATAGGAATAGTCATTAATACAAGTTTGCAACGTAGAAGTATAAAACCGCTGTAGCACAGAATAGACTAAATAGTCTAATCTGTGGCTGTAGGGTCCTTTCAGAAGTCCAAATAAAACAAAAACGTAATTAATTCGTAAATTCGTGAATATTTTCCTTTCCTTGCAATAACTTAAAAATGGGCGAGCATGATGTTATTTATGTTGTAATATGTGGATTGTGGAGTGTTAAATGCGTGTAATTTTCTTAAACAATGAAATAATGTTTCTGCCCACGTAATACGAATAATATTATTAACAGTACAATATACGAAGTTATAGAAACGACCGACTACTGGCTCTTATTATGTATTACCGTTAATTTTTCTATGTTTTCTTAGTACCTACAACCGTAGTATACTTATTGTAAATCATACTATCGATACTTAAATATTGAGTAATAATCAACAAATCGTATATGTTTTATTTAATATAGTTAATAATTTACCTACTACACGTATAGGTAATAAGTAGTGAATATTTATTTCTAGCCAACGAGTATTGCCTATCAGCTATCAGCCTATATTAATTTAAAGTAACCCCTAAAGAAATGGCCTTTGCTGCCGAGGGTAATATCTATAAAAACAATTATAATAATATAATCAAGAACTTATTATGTTATACGCCTTGGTACAAAAAAGAATTATATATTTATATCATACTTGAAAATGTTTGGAAATTAAACGTTACTATTTTGAATTTACATTACCCAAAATTAATTAATGGAAATGGAGACTTTATAATGTATTAGCTTTAAGTGACGTATATAATTAAAATCAGTCACGGCCATATTTATGGGGTTTATTTAGTGTTTTTTTTTTAATGTAATTAGTTCATTGGTAAAATATTTTTTGAATTTGCATTTATTATGAATACAAATAATTTATAATTTATAATATAAATCCATGACCCACGTTAAATTTGTTCGTCTAAATTTACAAATGTACTCGATTCTTCGGAACTATCATCTTTGTCATGTATGATAACACTTTAAAAGGTAAGCAGTAGGCACAGCAGATACCTATTATTTTTGTAATAAAATAGGTCTATGAGGCACGGTGTAGTGAAGATCTTTTTTACATTGTGGTTATAGGCAACCCGCAACACACACATTTTTATTATCACTAACCTAGTCGCTTATCAAACATTTTTAACTACAAATTGTACGTTCACGGTTTAATTATTGTTGTTACACTGAACTACTTTTAACGTGTTTGGATCTTAAAGTATTAATTTTCTTGGATTTTCCGATTGAAATATTTTTTTTAAAGTACTATGGTTTGCTAATTAAAATATTATTATTTGAATAAAACTTAAGTGTTATCATAATTAATAATATTTTTTCTTGTAACCAACAATAGTTAACATCTCAAACAGATTGTTGTAATTTAATAATCAATTTTAACTGTATTAACTTAAAATGCCAAAACTTGAGATTGGAAGCCGTGTTGAATTGACTGGCAAAACTATTCAAGGCAATGTAGCATTTATTGGAACAACTCATTTTGAAACTGGAACGTGGGTTGGAATAATTTTAGATGAGCCCAAAGGGAAAAACAATGGAGTTATCAAAAATCGTCAAGGTGTATCCAAAACTTACTTTGAGGTAGCATCATTTTTACTTAAAATATATATATATTTGAAGTAATTTAGGCAATAATTTAAAATAGAAATTAAAATAAACCTTGCTATAAATACCAAGCAGGTAGGTATTAGAATCATTGCATAAGAAACAATATACTTGCTAAACTTGTAAATATACCTATTAAGAATTATTTTAAATAATAAAAAGTTGTATAAAAAATGCTTATAATTAGATATACTTAAAAAAACAAAACTAATTCATACTAAGTAAATAATAATAATAATGTTTTAAATATTTAAGTGTGAAGAAAACCATGGTATATTTGTACGACAATCTCATCTTACTCTTATTGATGCAACAGGAGCACGTTTTGATATGTCTGCTAGTTCAGAATCGTTGACCTCTAAAACTACAATCAAAACTCGACTTAGTAGGTAAGGTTCTAGAATCAAATTCATACATATCAAAATATTATGTTTATAAAGATATATTATGTATATATAAATATATATATAATATTTTTAAAATTAGCTTGCGAAAAAAGGTTGATGCAAATGTGTAAGTTGATTAAAAAAAATAAATACAAAATAATTGAACTAAATAAATTCCTATTTATTATTTAGCTCTAGGCAGTCGTTAGCTGGAAATACTAGACTCAGTTCGGTTGGGTCAAAAAATAAAGATGATACATTCACCTCCCCGGTTTCTCGCACTTCTTCTCAATCTTCATTGGTTGGTACGAATCGTACCCCTTCACAGCCATCCATACTTTACAATCCTTCTCGCGCTCCACCTTCTCGTACTCCTTCACAACCGTCTATGCCTGCACCATCACGTACCTTATCACAAACATCTCTTGCTGGAACAGATTCAACACCAAAGCGTTCATCTTTTGTTGAGGTATTAAGAATTAATAATATTTACTAGAATAAAAATAATAATAATTAGTATTGAACACTAATTAACTTATAAATTGACTTTTCATTTAAAGCATTAGTAATTTGATTTTAACTGCATTATAGAATTTATTTATTTCAAAGTTGATTGATTTATTTCTGTGTGGCAATTTGATAATGTTAGATGTAATTTTCTTAAGTACAACTCAATTAGTATAGTTATTCACCATTTGTAATTATTAATTTATTTAAAAAAAAAATATGTTTGAAGTTAAAACTAAAAATTTAGATATTATTAGGGAAAACCCCCTTTATGAAATTTATTGTATTTAAAGTAATTATCACATCCACTTTAATTATTTATTTGGGATCATAAATATTTTGAAAAACATTGTGTTTTCAGCGGTCACCAAGTAACGAAAAGACGAGTCGATTGTCTAAACTAGTAACGCCAAAAATGAAATCAGTTGTTAAAACACCAATGACCAAGTCATTAACATCGTTAAAAGATGTTTCAAACTCTGAAGTAATTTGTTTTTAAATAAAAGAAATATAGGTTAAAGGTATCTGTAAATGTTTTGTACAGCTTTCTTATGTAATTATTCTCAATTTTGCTTAATACTTAAGGTTTGGAAATAAACTGATAGACTTTTTATTAATATTTAATGGTTTACCGTAAAGCGAATGGTAGACAGGCGCTTTTCCCAGCAGCAATTCCACATAAAAATATTACCATTTCTGTATATTATTTTAAAATCAATAGTTACCGATAAACCCTCTTAGCAACAATAATAAAAAGAAAACTATATCAGTTAATTTTAAAATGTCAGAAGTTATAAGATACAATTAATTTTACCATTTTTCAATTCTTAATTTCAAAAATATGTAATAGTTTAAATCAATTTTTGGATAAAAAAATGTTTAGTCATACCATATTCTTTTTTTTAATTAAAAAAAGCTAAAAAAAATAGCATTTATGGAAAAATCTCGGGTGGTCAATCCAAAATTAAACAGCGACAGATACAACTTAAACTCGGGTGCTGAGTGACATTCGAGGTAACCACTACGCCCCACCATGCTCCTGATTTTTAATCTATTATTATTACATATTATAATTTTTGTGTTTAGTGTCCAGATGTTACTTTTTGTTAATAGTTTTTTATTTTACTATATATATATATATTAAAACTAACATCAACAATTTTCTACTGTTAAACTCCAACCAAACGACTTCCTAAAAGTATAGCCTTGTTTTATCATTTTCTGATAATGTTATTTTCACTAAACGATTAAAAATAGTGAACAAAAAGTTACTTTTAATGTACAAAATTGTTCTGTCATTCTTACTTTGGTTAGTATTGTACTGCATTGTATAAAACTGTAAATAGCACTTCATATATTACACAAACGTAATATCGCCGCCCCGGTAGAACAATGACACAACTGCAAAATTTGGTAAAATGGACTGAATGCTTCAATGTGTTTAGATATAGCGAACGTATAAGGTAGAAAAACGATGTAACTGTAGTTGTAATAATTAATTGTGCATTCATGAATTATTAACATTTTAATGAAAATTAATTTGGTCTTTTGGTTCTCCTTTAAAATTTCAATTGTTGCAGTTCTGTCATTGTTCTACCGAGGCGACGATATTATATTTCATTTTTATATACACAGTAAAACCTATAATAGACATTCTTGCATCAGAAGTAAAATTAAATTTCCACTTATGATAATTTAAGATTAGTCTTCAACACTTTTTATTGCATATATATATATATATATATATATATATATATATTATATTATTTTGTAAATAATTAAATGTGATACCTTTGATATTTCCTTTTAAAAATAATCATATTATGCTTATTATGCTTACTTGTTCAGATATATACTATAAAGTAACAACCTATTAGAGTTTTAGGTTAAAACATGATTTTTTTTTAGAACTATAAAAAGTATATAAGTTCTTATATTGTTATATTGGAATGTGTGAACAAAAATAAAAAATTGGCATTTGGTGTGCTTCATAAATGTTCACATCATATTTGTGATAATTGTTTTCGTATGTGCACGTTTCTGCTTTGGTGATAATGCTGTGGTGTTATTACCATCATTGACTTCCCCCGTTGTAATATTATGCTACCACAATTAATGTTGTATTGATTACATAAATTGTTAATAACAATTCTAATTGATTGCATTTTGCTTGTAGACAGAATTTGTCGAAGCTCTTAAACCACATTACACTCCAGGTCAATCTGTTACTCCAAGTTCCCTTTTATCTACTCCCACACAGAGACCATCTCCTGGTATGGCTGAAGCTGCTGAAATTCAAGGGTTGAAAGAACAAGTTCAAGATTTGACTGAAAAGTTGGATGTTGTTAAAAGTAAAATAATTAAAAATTTAAAAAAACGGCACATATTTATAATATTTTGATACTAATTTTTTATTTTGTTCTTTCAGCAAGACTTAAAGAAAAAACCCATGATATTGATATGATGAAACTTCAGTTAGATCAAGCAACCGAGTTTAAAAGTAAAATCATGGAATCGCATTCAGCATTAAAGAAAGAATTGGAAAAAGTAAAACTAGAGAAACAAGAAGCCTTAGAAGGGAAAGACGAATATAATGAAATGGCTGAAACTTTGGAAATGGCAACTCTTGATAAAGAAATGGCCGAAGTCAAAGCTGAAACTTTACAACTTGAATTAGACCAAGCAAAAGAACGAATTGAAGAGTTGACTGTAGATTTAGAACTGTTGAAGGCAGAATTAGAAAAAGGCGGTGGAAGTGAATCTGATGATGGTGCTAATTCTTTCAAAGTAAAACAACTCGAGCAACAGAATTTACGTCTTCGCGACACACTTGTCAAGTAAATTCTTGATGTAAGTTATTTTATACATATTGTATTTTAATTAAACATTTTGTTTAAAGACTCCGTGATTTGTCGGCTCATGAAAAACATCAAACTCAAAATTTGCAAAGAGAAATTGAAGAAAAAACCAAACAATGCACTGATTTACAAAAGTCAAATGAGAAATTAACTGCTAGGGTTGAAGAACTTGTATCGCAAGTTAATGATCTGCATGAGCAGGTGATTATTATTATTCTCAGTTCTACGCTTTAAATTGGTATAAATGCAGTGTACTTTTTCTTAGGTCGATGCTGCACTTGGAGCTGAAGAATTAGTAGAACTTTTAGGCCAACAAAAGTTGAATTTAGAAGACAAAGTGGCCGAACTAGAAGAAGCAGTTGCTGATCTTGAAGCTATACAAGATATAAACGATCAACTGCAAGAAGATAGTAGAGAGTTAGAAATGCAGTTACGGGAAGAATTAGACTTGGCTAATGCTAATGTCCGGGAGGTATATCTGGAGGAATTCATTGAAACATGTTAAATATGTTGTTATAATTTTTATTTTAATATAGAGTATTAAAGAAAAAGAACGTGCTTTAGAGAGCTTGGCTGACCGAAGTTTAGTGATTGTAAAGTTTAGAGATTTAGTTAATGAACTACGTGAACAAAATCAAGATTTACAAACTCAGTTGATGAGGGAATCTGCGTCTAAAGATGAAGTTCGTTCGTCAATACCAGAGATGTTAGACTTCAAAGTATGATTTATCTTTATTTTTATAAATCTTTGTATCTCATTAAAAAAAAAAAACTTGTAATTTGTTGTTTTTTTATGTTACGATTAATAACATACAATGATTTTGTTCTCTATTTTTTTTTTCCAGAAAATGTTTGCTGAAACTAAAGCTCATAGCCGAGCAATTGATTTAGAACTTCGGAGGATGGAAACTCAAGAAGCTCAGCAGCATATACAATATTTGTTAGCTTATATGCCAGACTCTTTTATGGCTCTTGGTGGTATGTTTTTTATTTTTAATTATAATATAGTTCAATTTAATATTATTATATTGAACAGAATTAATTCAAATGTTTTCAATAGCAAAATTTGTTTAGAGTGGCTTAACCCTTTTGTTCCTGGGATTTTTTTTTCTCAAAAAAATTTGTTTTTATGTATTTGTATAGGACTAAAAAATATATTAACGAAGTTTCAGAAGTAAATTTAGAATTCTGGCTTAGTTATACACTACAAAATTTAAAACCCTTCTACAAGTATGTCGGGAAGTAACAAAGTCAATATAAATATATCATAGAAATAATTACTCTTATTTCACCTAAAATTACATAAAAGAGTCTTTAACTGCTTATAAAAAAATATATAACTAAAAAAAAAACTTTGTAAATTAAGGAAATTCCTTATTAAAATAAGGAAAACCTATGATGCTAAACAAACCATAATAGCGGACTGATATTGATTATTAATATAGCTGTGTTGATTTTTTTATCATCAATCTATACAAGAACTTCTATTTAAAAACAATTTTGATAATGATAGTACGTTGTTAATATTTTATTTTATTTTTTAAAGTTAAATCTTCGTACGAGGATGTCAGGAACAAAAGGGTTAAAAACAAGACACTTCACCTATTTATTAGTTATTTTTATGTAGTAATTATAATTTTTTTTTTATTTAAGAACTTTTTGCATATTATATAGTTATAGTTAAACAGTTAAAATAAATATAATTAATAGTTACTACAATGCGTTAGTGGTTAGATAAATTAATGAATAATATGTTGTAGGTTGAGTTTAAACGTTGCTGTTTAAGATGGTAGTGTTAATTACACTTAACTTATTTTAAATTACAGCCGTCTGCTTAAGAATGATTTGAGAATGATGGTAGAACAATTTAATTTTAGGTGATTATGATGCTATACTGTCACTCTTATTATTACCTCGCATGATTTGGAAGAGTGAAATATTGATGACACATGTTCGAGATAAATATCCCGATGTCCAAGATATAACCAAAGAAACACTTATGAAAGATCATTCTGCCGAACAATTTTCTACTCGGTCTAGATTGTCATTTTACTTATACAGTTTACAGGTAACATTTTTTTTTCTTGTTGTTTTATTTATTAATTAAGCCATTATTTTGTATTTATAAGACTGCTCTTCGGCAATTTATTCATGGACTAAATACAACAACTCCGGAAACTTTAATAAAAGTTGGAGAGTCGTATCCCGACATGGTGATTCAAGAGAAAGTTCTTAACGGTTATATAGAAATGTTAAAAATAGATCAAGTATGTATTTTTTTTTATTCATCGTATATAGTTATAGTGTTTGATAATAAATTTTCTTCTAATAGTTAGACGAAAATGTTAATACTGAAAACCTGGAAAGATGTGTAGCTTATTTTAAGAATGTCTACATGCCACTTATTCAAGATTTTAACCCACATTATGAACATTTGCTGTTGGATAATGTATCAATCTTATCTGCAGCTTGTAATACGATTCAAACTGATGCCAATATTATAAAAAGCGTCATACAAGTAAAAAATGAATACATTTTAATCGATTTGCCTATTTTTACATAATGTGTTGCGTATTACTATCTAGGATGATTCCACTTCTACTATTTCTAAATTTTGTGAAGACGTATCAGTTGCTTGTGAAGTGATAAATCAACACTTAAAACAAATCAAGAAACGTGCTGATGTTAATAGTTTTGTAAAAGTGGATCTAAGTTCTTCTATTCAATATGCAGAACAGCTGATATGTGTGTTAAGAGAAACTGCAAAATGTGCAGTTAGCCAAATTTCTTTGGCAACAGGTAAATAATAGTAAAATCATTAATGTTTTTCGCTATAAGCATATTGCATTCGTATTTAAATCTAGTATAAAAGAAATATGTCTAATTGGAATCAATAATATTTTATTTTAGATGACAAAAAAATTAATAGTGACAGTATAATGCAAGTATTAAATAGCTCAGTGGAAAAATCATTTGGAAAGGAAGAAGCTACCAAAGGAGTTACAATATGTTTAAAACTGTGTATAGGGTCGATTGCTGGTGAAATTGCCAGTGCAGCACAAGCTGTCCAAGAAACAGATTTGACGTTACCAACACCAGATTGTTCTAAAGTAAAGGGAAATCCAATTGATCATCAATTACATTTATATTTCTAAACAATATGATGTTTTAGGTTGTTCCGCCTGTTTCTAAGCGTGCCAGACAAGTGAAAAGTGAATTGGAAGAAACAAAGACATTAAGAAATACAATTAAAACTAAAGAAAATGATATACTAGAATTGAAAATGGCCCTCAGGTCTAAACAAGAAGAAATCGGAGAACTTAACGTCAGAAGGGAATTGGCTGAAAAGAAATTGTCAACAACTATACATGAGTCAGAGATTTCAATTGAAAAATTACAAGTAAGTCGAGTCTTGATACTTTGAATTTGAAAGAAGAAAATATTTAATTTGTGTTTTTTTTAGTATCTCATATTTTTTTTTTTTAATACAAATAAATTCCAGTTAACTGTATATTATCTGTTTATTGGGCATTACAATCGTGGCCCGATTAAATTTAACTATTCATTAGTATTATTACTAAAAATTATTGAATATTATTTACTATAATTAATGAAATTATAGCTAGTGTATAGCGTGGACATATATAAGTATTCATTGAATAACCAAAATGTAACTATTATATTTGACTTATCGCGAAATTGTTTTGAGTGTTAAGGATTTTTCATAGGACTAGAAAATAATTAAAAGTGCTGAGGTTTTTGAGTTCTTGAGACTCAACTGTATATTTGTTTTGTAAATTTTGTATAACAAATAATACACACTTAAAATTCATTATTTTTGCAATCAGAGAAAACTTGATGAAACTCAACAGCAGCTGAAAAGAAAATCCAAAGAATATGAAGAAACAATGGATCATCTACAGGCTGACATTGATTCGTTAGAAACCGAAAAAGGAGAACTTAAAAATAAACTCAAAAACTTCAACAAGAAAATGTTTATTGATGGTGTTAGTAAATCTGCTTCTAGTAAGTATTGCATTTGCTTTTATAATTTTTATGGAAATGATATTTTAAAAATGATTGTATTATAGTAACGGCTGTTGCAAATGATGTTAACAAATCATATCAGGAGTCTCCATTCTTGATGAATGAATTAAAGTTGACAAAAATGGCGTTAAAGCATGAAATTGACCAACGATCAAAACTTGAAAACAATTATTGTGAACAATTATTTTCACAGCTGAAACCATTACCTGTAAGTTTAAAATGCTAAATTAAAATAACAAACTAAAGAAATTGTTAAATAAAAAATATTTAATGGTATTTGGTATCAGGTACCCGATAAACGATCAGAAGAAGAAATAAGCCAAATAATAAAATTGAAAAAAGAAGGAAATGATATATTAAATGTATGTAAAATTATATTTATAAGAACTTTGAACACATGTACATCTTTTTTTTTTTAAAAAAAACACATTGTTCGATAGGATTTCCAAAAAACATTAAAAAACATAAGTGTTGTGGATGTGACAAAACGAGTACCAGGAAGGAAAATTATGCCCGAAGAAAATGTGTCTGTAAAACAATCTATAGACAATTGTTTACAATGGAAACAGTTAAAAAATAGATTAGATATATTGCAAGTATGTGACACATTACTTTACTTCGTTTTTAAAATAGATTAAATTTTTTATTTTTTTTTTCACTTGTGTAGGATAATTATAGTAAAGAAATTATTAAACAACAAAAGTATGGATGTATAGAAACAGATATGACTACCTTCCCGACTCCAGCCCTTAAAAAGGTGTGAAATTTGTATGAGACCACCATTAATGTGCATAATCTAATAAGTTTTAATTGTTATAGGCATTAGAAGAAGAAGAACCTGTATTAGCAGCTGAATTTGTAATACCAAAACCTTCAAATTGGAGTGGTCCGTCAGATATTAAAATGGAAATTGATCCAAAAATGTTAGCTTCATTACAAATGAAAGTCATAAATGCTGCTCAAATTCATCCATCTGTTCGGTAATTATATACATATATATATATATATATATATTATAATACAATTTTGTTTTATTTACATTGTATGTTTATATTAGTAGTTTTTTACTACTTCTAATTTTACCAATTAGCACACTAAAAATAATCACATAAAAATTATTTTTGGTGTAAGCACGTTATACTTTAAGTAATAACAAGCTGACTGTTTTACAGATATAATTGTGCATATACTACAGAAGAACTTCTTGGTGTCTGAAATAAGTAAATGAACAAGTATTTTGTATTACTAAATATATTAATTTTATTGGATTCCAATACCTTTGTGATATACTAATAATTATTATTAAATATTTTGTGTTAAATTAAACATTTCAAGTTTGATAAAATTAAGTACAACAACATGTATATTAAAGATTTAACAAAAACTATTATTTAATAAGAAAAACTAATTTTTTTGGTAAATAGTTGGATTTTTGTGTTTTAACAAATTTTGCTTTGTTTTTATTTATTGAAATAAGAACTGTATGATGTGTTTTATATCTGTTAGCCTGAAATTAAAATAAAATATTGTAAGTTTAATATATATAAACAACTTTATTTAAAAAAATAAATATAAAGCGAGCTGCATATATTTTGAGTTACCGGTGGACACAGCATACCAATCAATCGCATTATTGATATAAGCATATACAATTAAGTTCTTCATTTAAAATTTTAAAACATAATAAATTATTGTTAAAACTATAGAATTCTAAAGTGAAAAAAACAAAATAATAAAAAATTCGAGAATAAAAAAAAAAATTGTAATTATTGCAATGGATATAAATTTAGTGTGTGGGTGACTATGAAATAAGTAGTATAAGTCAGATCTGAGATGAAATCTCAAATACGAATCTACACGTTTGATTAAGAATTTAGAGCCATCTACGTTTGTAGGTAATAATTTCAGAGCATTATAGATAAAAAAGGGTCTAAAAAATGTTTGCTAGCTAAGCTCAATATTTTATTCCAAGTCAGTATTTTATAATATTCGATTTTTTTTATGTTAGGGCGCTAATATTTCCAAAAATTTAATTTAATTTCCAGGCTAAAAGTAAAATCAAACACAAATTTCGCCAACTTTTCGAAATTCAAACGTATTATATTTATTAAATAATTAGTACAAATGTAGTACCCACAAAAAACTTTTTGTATTTTTATAGAAAGAAGCAGATTTAAAAAATACTTAAATTTGAAACCGCGAGGACGAGAGTCCTCCCTCGTCATTTTTATTGAAAAATCGCTATAGCCCAGAGAAAAATGTATTTAAAAAAAACGTATGCCGTTTTAAAGCTATTATTCAAGAGTCAAGACACAAGCACCATTAGATAAATTGACGACAAATTTTGCCTATACTTTTACCCCTTAATAATAACTACTAAGTAAAATAACTGTACTCATGAGTCATGACTATAAATGAAGGGTTGCGGGCAAAAAAGATCAAAGGCAATTTTTTTTTGAAAATGAGATGTTGATAGCAAATAATTTGTATTGATGTATTGTATCTTTTATGCGCTCGAATAAGGGAAAAAAATAGATAAGTCGAGAGTAACGACCGCCGGAAGTTTAGACATACAGGCAAAATGTATTACGTTTTGAAATTAAAAACATGATTTTCTCAGAATGTTAAAAAATTGACATTGATCTTTTTTCCCCACAGCCTTTTTAATATTTTGTCATAATATGTTGACGTCCTAAGGGAAAACCCGTACTCGTCGAACATCACCGGGTAACGTTGGTTCAATTATTTCGGTCATCGGTCACAAAGCCGCAATTTCGTCGCGTCACGTTTGCCACACTGCTTATTTACAACCCTTACGCCGCCGCCCCCGTCTATCACGCCGGGTGGGTTTTCCATTATCTCTCTGGCCTCTGCAGAGGATGTAGTCGTACGGAATTGTTTTTAGTGTTTCTCCGTTCTTGTTGGAAATACACACATAACTCCGGTGTTTTCAACAGTAAACGTTCGGTCGCGGAATTCGAAAACAAATGATGCACTCGTTATCGTCCGGCTACAACAACGGTGGTAGTCCGTGACATTAACCGTGTTCAGATCCCTGGTGAACGGCTGCCTCCCCGTTCCAACTGCCCAAGTCGATCGAGTCGTCCCCGTACGTCTAAGCCGCCTACCAACGTGCACTTTCGCCATGGAAAAAATGACCGAGAAGGGTAAGTGACCGTTTGTAGTAATAATATAATTATTATTATGTTACAATGGTCAAAAGCATAGATGTAAACGATTTTCCGTGTCGCTGGCCGTTATCGACCGTTGCTACAAATTATAAATATGTTTAAAAAAAATAAAGTAATAAACCGTTCCAAGGTCGTTGGTTACAACATTTTTTCGACCTCGCAATCCCTGCTGTGTTTTGCCAAACCGCTATTTTTGGCACTATAAAAGATCTACCTACTTGATAAATATTTGCGTTCCTGGCAACTGCACTTTTTTTTCCTATTCTACTCTCTTGAAGTATGTGGACTATAATTTCAAAACTATTGAGTCCTATGCTGAATTGCACAAAAAATTATTAAATTTTAGGTTTTCTTAAAATTCAATATATCAAACACAGAAACGTGGGTCATTTAATGATATTTAAGAAACCACTAAATGTCTATTATATCGGTAAACTTTGGACAATGGACGTTCATGCAACCTGGCATAAATTTGTTACTGAAAAACTATGTTTCCATACTTGTGTTTAAGTATGCAGCTAGATATTACATCTGACAGAAATTAAATTTGTAGTAGATGTTAGAGTATAGTGCTTTAAATTAATATGTTATTATTTTATTAAATATTAATTGTAAATTGTATATTATTGCTCATTTCACATTTGTAATTTGGGCTGGTCCCATTTTAAAATTCTATTACAAATATAATTTAAATATTAAAGCTAAAAACAATTGTATAATTCATCTATCAAATAAAAAGTATAATTTTCTTATTCATTTTAATGATTATTATGTAAGACATGTATATAGTTTTAATGCTCTTATTTAATTGAATTTTTATTAATAATTACGCTGTCACTGATATTTAATATTATTTAGAATAAATGCTAGTTATACCCTGTGATTAGTCAAACTGCTTTAATAGATTTTAAACCGTTAAGATTTAGGATAAAATAATATTTTAATACTTACACTTAAATAGTTGGCTTTATTAATCATTACTAACAACCTTTAGTTTTATATTTTCCCTTAATCTTAAATTATTATACTTGAGGTTTTTTCGTAAGTGGGAATCTGGAACTAAAAATTACATAAACTAAAAATAAACAGTTTGTTTTTAGTGTTTTATTTGAATAAATTAATTTTAGTCATCTGAAATGCAACCATATCTCTAGTGTATATTAGAAGACTATAAAATGTACTTTGATACAGTTTTACAGAAACAAATTTTACTAAAAATGATCAAAATATGTCGATGTTGAAGAAGTTTATATGAAACATAATAATATGACTAAATAATATCTCGTATCAATATTTTGTACCAGTTAGACGTTATTCAGGATAGAACACTGTAAACATAATCAGTATTCAGTAATGTAGAGAAGATATGTGATGCTTCATCACTCTGTGTGAAAATTAAGAAGTTGGCTAGTTGTTGTCTGTTGAACATTTTCTAAAGTTATACTATTAAATTATTATTATGCTGTGACTTCTTTGCGACTAAGTTTAATTTTTAATTCACTTTACCTATCTGAACATCCCTTGTATGTTATTTTTAGAACTAGCAATCAAGTGCTTAATTAATATAATTATTAACTTTTAGTTTCAATTAAAAAAGGATTTTAAAAAAATGTTAAAAACTGACCTTTGTTGTTATGGGTTAAATAAAATATCACAATTATTTTTAATAGTGCTTTTGAAAATATAGTAAATATAATTATAGTTTAAAATTATTTAATAATTAATTATAATTATTATATCTATACAAGATGAAATAATTTTATTAATTTGATGTTTTTTTGTATGATTGAACATATTTTATGTGATATATAATTTATTTATTTAATATATGGCAGTTATAAGTGATAACTGATAAGAATTGTTCGAGATATCCAAACATAGTCATAATAGAATATACTATTGTATACTTATTATGTATATGTATCCAAAGTACCATGTTACGACTTCCAAAGATTTACTAGTTTTTTTTCATTTAAAAAAATTTCCGTCGAGATAGATATATATTTATTCATCGACGATTCAAATCTATTCATAATATATGCTCATCCATAATAACAATATTAACGTCTTACCTGATGTGCCCCGCAGCTTAAACGTTTATGATTCGTAATTTACAGCATATTTAATTTTTATTGACAAAAATAATTAGTGATTTAAATTTTATTTTATTGTAGTGTACACGTCTTCTTGTCTTGAATTTTTTTTAACATTTGTACTAAGTAAACACATGGTGTTTTACCTTAAATAGTTGGACCATTAGTTTGTCTAGTTTAGAGGAGTGTAGCGTAAATACGATGAAAATAGCTGATCGATTAATTTTTATTTACCTATTTATTTGCAGCATTATGCGCTAGCTACTGTTATTACATTTGTTTTTATGGAATTTCAATAAACTATACTTCTATACTGTAAGATGTAATAACTGTATTTATAAACAATTATTTACAGAGGTTTATTTTGCTTACCTTTTAAAAAATTATACATTATTATTCATTACTGATTAGCTGGTTCTGTATTTACCAATTTATATGGTATTTATAGATTTGTGTATAGTTATTTAATCTCTACACTGTTTATTATTAGTATTTATTTATATAATTGTAACTTGTTGCAAAGAGCACAGTACAAAATAATATTATTTTATTATGTTATTCATATTATTTATGGGTAGTAAGAACTGGCTAATAAAACTGACAATCCATCGTTGTGTATTGACAATAGAATAATAGCCATCGGCAACAACAGCTATTGTCTGAAACGTTCAGTCTATTATAGTCCCATCTTCCACGTACTATTAAAAAAATAATTGTTAAGTTTTTGAGTCCTATATTATTATAAAACTCAACACTGGACATATTGTTATTAATATGCATAGAATGTGTGTTATTATAAAATCCATTTGTATGTTTTCATATCTTATAAATGGTTCATACTTCATTAAATAAAATAATAAATAAACACTGAAAAAAATTGGATACACTAATTTTATCGCTTCCAGATTTATTTTTCGCACAAACCAGTTGCTAATCCTACCAAATGTGTTAATTATGATACATAATATATTATGTAGCTGACCATTGTATCTTCCTTTATTCTTAATAGTATTGCTTAACAAATCTTTATCTTACAATCATAATCTTAATCACGTCTAAATAAAAGAAAACCATCTTTTATATTTATCATCGGTTCGATTGATCACGAGATACGAATATAAAGGTCATATAACCTAAATTTCTTAAAATCTAGCTGTCTAGTAGGCATTTTAGCACATGCCCCCCGAACCAGTGGTCATTCCGCCACTTTTACGTCATTTCCATAGTTTATTTTAACTGTTAGTAGTTGATATATAAACAACCTGAGCAAAACAAGTAGTTTTCATCGCACTGGTCATCATTCTCGTACTTAATATTGGTCTTTAGTCTGTACAAATAAAAAAGAAACTTGACCTAGACACTAGCCTTTGCGGCCAGCAAAAATATGCGGTGTTGTAAATGATCCGTTACATTGTTCGTTGACCACACGCAAGCATGTTTAGAACTGACCCGGTCCAGTGCCGAGTTGTCCTTTTTAGACAAGAGAAGACCGTACCCGCGTTGCGTTGTAGCGTTGCCAATGAACTCTGTGTGGTACTCGGAGAAAGTTCTTGGGCGTTACAAATAATAGTTGTAGTACAATAATTCTAATAATTATACTTGTGTATACACAAACGTTTAGTGTATACACTTCACTGTATAGTAGGATTGTACAAAAGTAAAATAACAACTACGTGTAATAGCATAGTATTAAAATACTATGTAAATTTTATTGTATTGGTATGTTTAAGGCCTTTTTTTTAAAAATATTTTCCACAAGTAACTGGTATCGGCCTACTCATTTAATACTATATGAGATTACCTAATATAAATTGTTGGTTTTTACTTGTATCCTACATTGTTTTATGTTTATTAGCGACTTCAAGAAAATTGAAGTTTGATTTCTAGAAAATTTACTCTTCTCTGATTTTCCAACTTGCATGCGACGTTTCGTGTCTATATTCACTTACCAAATACAATTAACACATTTGCAATTAGTTTTACACGTTTAGGGTATTTATTTTGTTATTAATTAACGCTTCTTGCTCTTTCATTATTAACTATGCCCTATGGAAAAAGGTAGTCGTGTAAGGTTATAAAATTGTGTATCAAACAAGACGTTAGAAAAGCCCTACTCTGCAAACTCGCTAAGTCTCGGTGTCTTAACGTATTTTAAATATTAAACATTGAACTATAATTGAAAAGGACATTCAACTGTCAAATAAACGAAAAGCATAAAAAAAAACGAATAAAATACACCTATCTGATAAAACTTTAGTCATTACTCATTAGTTATTGTATTTTTATCGTGTCAGTGTTTAACTTGGGTCATTGTAGTTATATTATTTTAAAATATTTAAAGAAGTATTTTGTATATGTACGTCAGAGAATGTTTATGTCTTATATATGTTAGAGTAGATACATTACATAACAATTGTATGTATTGTTATGTATTTTTGGTCTTTCGAGTAGTTGCTGTTTTTTTAAAAAATAATTTTTATTATTCCTTATGCCGATAACACCACAACAATCGGTTGGGTCTCACGCGATTATATTCAATTAAAGCCTAAACAGCTGCGTTAAGTGCTTGATTTATGAAATGCCAACAGACAAAGAATGGAAACAAATCAATTTTAACGTTGAGCACTATAAAATGTCTTGCTTCCTAGCAGGCATCAAGTATTTGGAATAATTGCGCACTTTTACGGCGTTCCAATATTTTTATAAGACTTATTAATTATTATTATTCACTAAATGCGAACATTACTATTGCGATAGAGAGCAAGTCAAGTACTAATGATTTCTTTATTGACTATAGCCAATGTTATTTATTAGAAAACGTTTTCGTTTGTTGGTTTATTGTACTTCTCAGCAGGTCACGAAAGAATAATGAAATCGATTTTTATTGTATGAAAGCCAATATTATATTATACTTTTTAGTAATGCGATATTATACGGGAATTTAAATACGATGTATACCCTATGGCCTATTGCATTACTCAAACTTGTGATTATATATTAAAAAAAAAGGAAATCTATGTTAGGATCATTTAAATCGTGTGTATTTGATTGACCTTACATAAGCATTTGTTTTCACCGCTTGCGTTCTTATTTTGGACTGACAAATTATACATGAAAACCATTCATCTGGTTTTTAGTATAATTTGTAAATTGTATTTTGTCACTATGTTTCTATCTAATAAATAAATAAACAGCCTTATACAATTTACATTAGATTCTACGAATTAGGTTTGGATTATTATTTATTTTTTATCCTTTGGCGGTCTGTGTGAAAAAACAATATTCTATTTTCTTTGGGATATTCCGTTTGGGAGGTCAAAGAAATACAGGTTTTTTTTGGTAGACAAACATTATTTTTTTCTTAACGCAAGTCGTAACTTCAGTGGCTTACTTGACTGCTATTCGTTCATTGTATCTTTTGTCCACTAGTTCACGCATTTTGTTAGCATTATATACAATGAATACGTTTTTCATCATTAATCATCAAACCTTATTCGTGCAAATACAAATGTCATCGCAGGAATGGAATGCTATTGTGTTGATGAAAATATAAATCTTAAATAAGACATAAAGATGGGTTATTACGTATGGTTTTTAATTTTTATTTGACAATTATTAATTGAATATTCTTTGAATACTTATTGAACTGTATAAAATAATTAAAAAAACTAAAAATCATTTAAAAATAATATAAATAAACAACGTTTCATTTTTTTTATCAAGCAGATGACTGTGATTGGGAATTATAATTTTTTTGGAACTTAACTAGTGTTGGTAAAAAATACAGATACTAAAAAGTAATAGTCATGTTATTATAAGTCATGTATATTCAATGATATGATGACGTGTTTTAACGTCCTTTTATAATTTAGTTTTTAAACATTAATTTAGGTATAATAGGAACGATTCAGTTATTCTTGCCCCTATAGTTAAAAAACTGCTCATGTATCTTATAACTAATTAACACATACGCGTTTGGTATAGTTGTTAGACTGTAAAATGAGGGTTTGGAAAACGTATATCTCTTTTTAAAAAACTGTTAATTTCGATTTATACTAAAAAGTGAAAATTGATTGTGTACTTTGTCTCCGGGTTGATTTTCTCTTCAGTGATACCACAATAAAAAAATGAAAATATGTTGAAATTATGTTTCCAACCACTATACACAGAATCGGTACCGCAATCTTCAACTCGCAGCAAGACTATAGAAGTGTAATGTGTATATAATAATAATATAAACCGCTTAAAACGTTTCCAATCTACTGAACATGTAATAACGGTAATTCAAGTTGCATTGAGATCTCTTCCATGTATTCAATACCATTGTGCATTGCTAGACTAGTACATTCACTGTAGTAATACAAATATGTATGTCTTTTGTGGATTCAATTTCACCACTAGTCTCAGCGACAACATAATTCATAATGACAGCTAGCAATAACTAATAAATGATAATTGTGATTGTGTTTTGCGTAATGAAAGAGTTACACACATATTTTGACTGGTTTAATTTTTTTAAATTTAATTTTTCACCTGCAGCTAAATACCGACGGAAACTGTTATGATGTATTGGTAAAAAATATTTTGTTCCATCATCGATAAACCTGCATAAGCAAGGTTTAATTTTAAATTAAAATAGCATATCCAAATTATTATACATGATAGCATAAAATTAAAATAAATCTTTTGATTGGTAAATTGTTTTTTTATTTGCTAAAAACAAGAAACGAATGAATATGAACTATATTATGATAAAATTTAATTGAATATACATTACAAACGCTATTTAAATTTAATTTTAATGCATACAAGACATGTAGCGGATTATTGCATGTAGTATTTTGGTAGTATGCATCCTCCGACAGCCGGCTGTACATACACCTCACAATATTTTTAGCCGAAATAATATTATGTTAAAAAGGATCTCTCTCCCCTGAGTATTTCATTAAGGTCATGCAATTGTTATACTTATATTAAGGTACCGAAAATGTTCGTGGGGCGTAAAGTCGACGTAAGTTACTGGGTCAGAGTGAATTGGATTTTTAGTCTTAGCTTTTTATATTTGTAAATAAACTGTGTTTGTATGATTTTTTCACTACATTTATCGTTCGTCAAATGCTTTTTTTACCACAGGCATTAGCGTTTACCGTGATCGTGCATAGTTGGTGATCGTGCTCGCCATGTGTAAATCGATAATATGATTAAAATCTGCGATGGTGTGGTGTCAGGTACACCACACACTATTCTCGCGGTTCGGTTAACGCCGCGCGCGTATTGTTGCAAATGAGTCATCGGCTCTGCTCTCCGAGTTTGCCATGTGCCCATGCATATTGTATAGTAATAAATGTTTAAAGTACACCGTTGGAATATTCGCGGTGTGACTTTTGAAACGGTGTTTTGTGTGCAAGAAGTTACGGCGAGAGAATTTTTCTAAAACATTTTGAAATATACACATGTTGGACGTGTATTGGAAAAATCGTGTAATAATATCCATTTTTGTTTTTGGATGGCGCGGCGCGCGTCTACTGTTGTGTATATTATTATGTAGAACCGAAAAGCAGCGGACACTTTTGGCGTACACTCATTCTAATGTTATTCCCCCCATCATGATCAGCTGCGGTATAGTAGTTATAGCCGGCACATTCTACTTCCCCCCTGCGCACCCCCGCTTCATTCCACCGGCGTATGCCGCTTCATAGTATTCAAAGCTATCCCTCTCTCTCTTTATCGTAGACCGTAGTCGCACACTCAATCGTCGAGTAACCGCGGACCGGCGCTGTTTGTTGTGTGCACCGTTATTGTCGTCAACGTAGCATTCGGTATGTGTGCAAAACAAAACTTTTAATTAGCTTCTGAAACTAGCCGTACTATCTGTATAAAAATTCTTCAAAAAATCTAGTCGTTCTCGGGTATTATTTAATACTGCTGCTATCATTACGTTTTCGTCCATCGATTAAGTCCGGCTAACGAACGTCTCTTATATTCACAAATCTTGTAAAGCTCCGAGGTAAGGTTTTTTTTTATTCGCGTGATAAAAATGTTAAACGTACAAACAACAGCTTATTCGATCGATCCGTTTAAATCAATAATTAACGTCCGAGGTTACGCTATAGATTTTTATCATTTTTTGTTTTTACGACCGACATCGTAAAATCTTTATTAACCGGGTATACGCGCATATATTATTATGTTGTCGGAATTTTGCAATAATTTTTTGACATTCAGAGTAACCTTGTCGCGACCAATACCTACTGCTTTCGTGGGCGGCTTTTAGAAATTGTTCTAAATATTACAAATAATAACTTAAGAAGAGATTCTTAAAATTAATAGATCGGTCATATAACAAAAATGATAACCGTCATCGCGAAAAGGGAATGGGCCAAGGGAACGCCGAACAAGTTATTGGATTAACACATTTTTATGTCTTTTTATATGTTAGAACAACGAGTTATTTATGCAACTATCACGATCAAATTTTATATTGTGTTAGGTATGACGACTATTCGAAATTAGTGACGTGCTCCGAGTGTGAAAAAGCGCTTTGTTGTGTGACTGTTGAGTTTGCGATAAGCCGTGTTTTAGTCTGCTGAGTAACGAGGAAGAAAAAAACAATAACAATGACCAAAGGTGGATCGTCGCCCGTACTGGTGGATAACGGCAGCAATAAGCCGTCGGAACCCGTAAAGAAGCGTGGCGGGTTCTTCAGCGGATCGTTCAGGCGTCGCCGCAATTCCGATGTCAAGATCACCGACACGATTATCATCAACGAGAACGTGGCGTTCAACGGTAATAACAACAACAATGCCAAAAACGTAAAAGGCGTCGTCACACCCGTTGTTGACGGCCCGCAGCAAGTGGTGGACAATAAGAAGCCGCCTTTGCAACAGAAACAACCGCAGGCCTCGTTGACCACCGCCGCGACGGACAAGAAAGCGGCGACGTTGCAAAAGAACGAAATTAAAAAGCAACAACAACAAGTGGCGGCTGAGGAAAAGAAGAAAGCGGATCAGAAAAAAACAGACGATAAAAAAAAGGCGGTTAAAAGAGGTAAACTACATTTGTTGTTTTGCATGCGTTTTCCCATTAAAGGGCACCACATCCATACATTTATCAATAGTTTCTTGCCTAAGTTCAAAGTTCAACGGAATTTTGATAGTCTTTTTTTTTGTTGTCCTAATGTGAAAATTAAAAACGACGTAAAATACAACTTAAAAACGTGAGTGGTCGTTGTCGTGTTGAGAGCGATTCGTAAATCTTCAAAATACTACCCCAACATAGTAATATTATAATTTGTTTTCATTACTCCCCCGCCTGGCGGCTACACAGAAGGAGCGGCAACCCTTTCCCTGAGAACCACTGCACATAGTCGTTCCCACTTTACGTCTATGACTTCTGAAAAACACTTAAGCAACTATACTATCTTAAGATAAGAGTACGAATTTTCGAAAAAATCACTTTTTTTGCTTAACATTTTTATGGCTTTTGGCCTTATGATGCAGTTGCTCTCCGATTTATCGTGAAACGGATCTTGGCGGCGAGACTGGAAGAATTGTTGCAAGTCGTGATATTTGCCACAGTAGGTTTTAAATTTAGTCTCATCTCATACGCGTGTATAATTTATTATCGAACCGTCATTGCATTTTTTATAATGGATTTCTCGTTCCGAAGCGAGTTTAAAATAGAGCTACAGAATACTCGAGCGCCGTAGATTATTATTAGTGTAAACGCCAACAACCAGCACTCATTACGGTGTGGCGTCTGGTAAATGAGGCAGTAGGTATTCCTAATGTTTATCTGAACGCGGTTTATTTGGATAAAGGAACATGACGTCTAACTTTGCCATTTTCAGATTTTTACTAAAGTATCTTAATTGAATTCTTCGTGTTTTTGTTGAAAACGAAATATGTCGAAATATTACTTATGCAGTAATGTTAGTTTTTTTTGTCATTCCTGTAAAATTTGAATATCATAAGATTAATTTCGTCTCTTGTCCAATGAAGAGCTATTGTGGAAAAAAACTACAATAAATAAATGTTATTTTTATTCGTGACAACTGCGTTTGTGTAGAAAATTGTGTATAAAGCGTTTATCAGTAGTGTTATTAATAAGTTAACTTATTTTGTAAGTAATTTAATGACTTACAAGGACAGCCTTTCTATTCAAATCTATGGGTAGTGTTCTATTAACATCAACTTTTATATCATGCATTATTTCAACCCGCTAAATGTGATTTCTTAATTACACACGTGTTCAGAGTAAGAATAGACCAAAAAAACATGTATTTGCTAAAACTAATACCTTTCACATCGAACCTAAAAGTTGGTGTCTGACGATTGTGTTATTTGCCCGGATGATAATTTTGAAAGTGAAAGTGAGTAGTGGACATACTCGTAGTACGCCGGTTGGATTATGACGGTTTGAATTGTGCATAACCACCGCAGATCAAAGTTAAGTTGTACGATCACACACTAAAAGTGTAAAAGAACACTACTTGTAAATGAACTGTCATTACGGTTTGAAGGTTAAAAGCTAGTTAGTTAACCACCGCCGGCTCCTGAGGTTATGCTAATGTTAGTTTAATGTAAAGTGAAATAAAGTATTTTGATAGGATTTTTAAATTATAAAAAAATCGAACATCTAACAGAATTTTAAGATTCCATGTCCGCCCACTCCACTTTTCTTTTTGTTATCGAAGGACGATTTTTGTTTTGTCTTTTTTTTTTTCGCCACGGTTTTTCGTCATCTATTATTTTTCATTAATAAGAACTCGGATTTTCGTTTAGTTTGTGTCAAGGTCGACAATGACGAATGTATCTACAATTCGGTACGGTAGAGTAGTTGTATATATATATATATATATTATATATAATATATATATATATTAATATCGGAGAAAGTGCCATTGAAATACTGCGGGTCATACGATAGCCCTTTGTAACTCGAACTTCCGAATTATCATCGCCAGCGATCATTAATAGATACAGTATTACTTACGAGTTAATAGGTGTAAATATATATACATATAATTAGTTGTTTACTTTATTTCAAATAACTTATAATGTATGATTTCTGAAGAGTGAAGAGTGAATAGCCGAAAAGTGCACTAATATAAAAATTCAAGTAAGCATAAGTCAACATTCTCATTAAACCTTGTTCTGGTCGCGCCAAAAATTCTATGTAATTTGTACGTAATAACTGGTGAAATGTGTATACTATAAAATAAAATAAAAAAAGATTTGCTACACAAAATATATCGTTGCTTATTCTAAGTGAACAACTGTGAGCTAGGAATCTTTTCTTTATTAGGTCAAATTCGTTATCACCATATGAATATAATGTTGATGCCGGTCGGCATTTAGTTATGTGTGTCTGGTGCGGTATTTTTCAACGTGTGCTGTCGTTTCACCTGTAGCGCACCTCATGTTAATAATAAACGCCAAGGTCGATGGTTCTCTTATCAAAAAAAAAAAATGTACGATGTATAATTTATGATTGAAATCGCCCTGGTTTCGAATCGCTGCTGTGATTTTATATCGACATCATTGTTGGCTATTAATTATTACTTTGATCTTCGCAGTAAAATTAGTTATTAACTTGTTTTATTACTCGCAAAGTTTATTGTGAAAGACTGGTGCTCATTTATTGTTAGGCAAAAAGGTCCGTTCACACGCGAGAGGAAAACTTAAGATACATAAACGTTTTTTTTCTTCTTAATTTTAAAGGAAATTGATAAAATGTTAGCAAAAAATTGTAGTATTCATTTTTTCCCTATTACCTTTGATTTTTAATGCAATCCGTTTTTATACATAAACGTGGGAATAACGATTGCGTTAGTTCCATTAGAATCGTCTAATTTTTTCCCTCGTTGCTTATATAAATATTTACATGTTTTGTATGAGAGTTCTCATGTATGACTTATGAGACATGTCGGTCTACATCGTTATACATTTTTTATAATATTAAAAGACATTTTCACGTATACAAAACGCTATAGTTAACTTTGGCATTTTGCCGGATCAGATAAGTCGGCTCTTATGCTTACCTTATTATTGTTATTATAATAAAAATAATTTTTGGTATTTTTTATTGCCAGTAAGTCGTGACCACCGTTGTTGTTTCCCCGGTAAAAGTTTTTTTATGATGAAACACACCGACGTGATTAGTTTCCAGAATAATCCGTATTCTACTGCTTGGGCAGTAGAAATACTTAGGTTATTAAGAATCGACATTACAAAAAAAAATGTTCCAAGTACTGTTTAAAGGCTAAAAATATCATCCTATATTAATAATGTCAATAGCATTAGAGGTTATCTCGACTCGGGATTCTGTTAAAAAATGTTATCTGTTATCAACTTTTGTTGTAATCGAAATTATAATTGTTTTCTAGGGGACTAACAATCGTGTAATCAATATAATTGTGATCCGCCATACAATTGTATTATTTAAAAAAAAAAATTAAGAAATTTCTAAAGCTTCAAACTGGCGTAGTTACAATATTAAAATACCCATGTTAATCTATGGAAATTAATTAGTTAAACGATTAACAATGTTTAGTTTGATGAATTAGATTGTTAATTAGTCTGTTATTTTAAGTAGTATAATATAATCACCACGTACTAATTTATTATTGCAAAAATAGTATTGTGTATGAATAATTTGAATAATCGATCAGCCAGGCAGGCAACTATTATTGTTGACTGATACTTGATAGTTGATACTATATTTTTGTATCAATGCTATGATATTGATGATATGCTAAACATTTATATAAATTTCACACATCTTTCTATAACTATGACTAAGAATACTGATTTCTGCTATAGCATAATCAACGTTTGCGAATATGATAATTGTTGTTTTAACGACGATTATAAATGGATAATTATATATAATTAACACGATTCGCATATGTGTTATCATGCATTTTTGTCTCAAAGGTATTTTGCGTGCGCATATGCACATAAAACTGCGTACAACGAACGACTGTCATATATTTATTATAAAATAGAATATTTGCTTTATGCGAAAAATATTGAAATAATCTGTATGCGGATGTGGCTGACGACTTGTAGGCGCATATGTTATAAGAGTGCACTGTTTGTTTCACACGTATGAAATGGTGACGTAACTACTTTATAGCCAAGTCGAAATGTTATTCTTAGTGTGTATTAACTGTTGTTGCACGGTAAAATACAAATTTTGGGCTGTAATACAGCTATAAATTTGTGTATATCGGTTGACTTATTAAGCAAAATCGTACTACACGAGTACAAAGTGTATTTTAATTTTACTTATAATTTGTAGAAATTAACTTCATACTAAATTTCATCAATAACCGGAGGACTAAAAAATGAACTACCTAAGAAAAATGTATTATTTATTAGAGTCACGATAATATTTAAATCGGTATCATTAAATCATCAGTTGTTATTCATCTTTATAATAATAGTGCACCTTTTGTTGAGAAAGACCAATATGACGTAATGAAATTAAAAGTTAATTTGTTTAACGATTTTGTCTGGTCTATTAAACCTTTATTCCATAAGTAGTTATAATTAAAGAACTATTATGTAGTGTTTAACATTTTAATTATTCACATTTTGGTCTCTTATTTTAACTATTACATTCAAATATATTACCGTATGTTAATGTAGACTTAGCGTCAATTTTTTTTGTGTAAGTTATTAATTTAGGCGTGCACTTTCTGGAATTCTACAAAAAGCAGCAGTAGTATTGTTTGTCGTACCCAACCGAAAACATTCGTGACCCACATTTTTACCTGCCTAGTACCGATAACCATCTTAATTCGTTTTTACTAATGGTTTTTTCACTATAAAAAAAAATGTATATATATTTTTATATCGCCGGATCTATTTGGTCATAGAGTCCGTCGTACACCGGAAGACTATCATTTGTAAAACTATATTTTTAATTTTCATAATAGGGTAGCTTGTCTAGACGTCATGTCATGATATATATTCTGTATATTATCTCTCCCAGTGTTTCCTAGGTTTTAAAATCGATAACACCATAAAATATACCCAAGG